CGGATGGGGATACAGAGTTCGACTACGAGTCCGAGCTTGTAATGTGCTCAATTTTTCGCATTTTGCACATCCGTCGGCCGGAACAGGGCCAAGGCGAAAGCGGGCCCGAATGGCCACCTGCCAGCCTTCAGCCATAATAATGTTAAACAATATATATAAATCACTCAGCTGTCCGGCGCACACAGTGCCTGGCTGCCAGAATACCAAGGATCCAGGATACAGAAAAGCGGGCTGGCGAGGGGGCTTCATAAAAATTTACCGCCATAATGCTTATTTTAAAAGTCAATATGTTCGGTGCCTGTTATTTTAACACCCGGCGTGTCCAGGTGTCCCGGTGTCCTGGTGTCCTGGTGTCCCGGTGGCATCCGCTTGTGAAAAGTACGAGACAGGCGACAGGAGCTGGGAAAAGCTGAGAGGAGGCGGCAAGCGCAGAGTGTCAGTGGCCAACGTCACAGCCCACAACACACAACATAAACATAAAGTGAAAAGCCCGGCGAGAAAGGAGCAGGCTGTCGGGGAATAAGTCGGAAGGTCTCAGGACTCTTGGCCCTGTTTTCCCTTGCTTTCCTCCCTTTTATTTTTATTTGTAATTTTTCCTCTTTTTTTTTTCTTTTGCGGCCATCTAAAGCCAAGCGTCACATGTCGCCGGGATGAAAGGGAGCGGCAGCTTGTTGTTCATATCCTGGCCCGTCGTCCGTTTATGTGACGTGATTATGTGCAAAAAGTGCAACAGGCAGCAGGACGAACCCACCTGACACCGTGTAAAGTAGCCCTCGAGCAATGCGGATGACGAAAAAGGGCAGGGGGATGGCGATGGGGATGCGGGTGAGGATGTGGATGTGGATGTGGACGTGGGCACATGACGGAGGTGTCTCACCTTTTTCGACGGCCAGCTGCAGGCTCGTTTGGCTTACACGTGATTTTTCCGGAAATAACGAGGAAAGTCGAGATGCCAGCGGCGGCTGTCAACCAACTTATTCCGGTCAATGTGCTTTATTTTAAGCAGCAATAAATTAAGCCGTAAACAAAAAAGACCTTATTAATAAAAATATAAAAAAATATTATATGAGCCTACTTCTATAATTATGGAAAATTACAAATTAAAGATTTTTTTCAAGAATTCATAACTTATTTAATTTAAATTTATTAACTTAGTTTTTTTTAATCGATCTAAAATGATAATTATAAACTAATCTGTTACTTAAAGAACTTTGCAAAGCTAGTGTTTTACATTAATCACTAAAAGCGAATCGGGTCAAATGCGGGTGGGAATCGGGGATCGGTTATTACGAAACGTGCGGTAACGATCGCCCCACAATCGCTTGCTTATCACTTCTAGCTTTTGTTGAGTTCTCTGCGCTGGTGACGCGTTACTTTTACCGAAAAAAAAAAACCGAAACGACGACAAGAATGTGAAATTCAATTCGTTGACCGGGTGGCTGTTTCGGTTTTTCGGTGCAACCGTCAGCTATTCCGAGGTGCTGGTCGCCTGTTCCATTAGCAAACTATTTAAAATGTTTTAAACTTTTTCCCCCAGATTGTTGTTAAATTTTTATATAAACAAAATAAAAACATTTATGCTCGGAGCGAAAGGCACTTGCTCATGATCGTGGCAACAGAGCGTATGTGTTATATGTACGATCTTTTTCCTACTGAACGAAAGGCGTACTAAATTGCCCTTTTGTTGTTGCTCTCCGTACTTTATGCCATCACGCTCACTCCCACACGAAGACTACGGCGTAACGGTGAATCCGTAAACTTCTAGGAAATACGGTATTATTTTGTACTAATTCGAATAGGCGAGCAGCGTTTAAGAGCAGAGCGATGTCGTTTCGCTGATAAGTGACTGAATATGACTGAACCCACTCAGGCACACCACCTCCATACGCACATACAAGTGTGCCTAGATACAGATGTGTATATTGAAATGTGTATATACCATAAGCGTTTGTTTGCTTTGTGTACCTCTGGGGGTCTGGCATTGGGGTAATTTGCTTATTGGCACTCGCGCAAAGCTTCAAACTAATTTGTTTAAACATTAGGTCACTGAGAAAAAATATTGTATAAACAATTTTACATTTTTTAACGAAATCAAAATTGAAAAAACAAGGAAACAGTTTGATAACCTGTTAATAAAATTTTAGAAATAATATATTCAACTTAAAGTGGAATTCGAGACCTGTCGTAAGGGGAAAATTTATGAATAAACATTAAATGTTTAGAGGCGGTATTTTAAGAATTTAGTGTAAGCAAATTTCGTTCCGATACTTTTGTTTTCTTTTAAGTCATAATTTTAAATATATTAAACTTCAAACGGAGTTCAAGAGCTGTGTAAAGGAGAAAATGTATGAATAAACATCGAATTTATAGAAACGGTATTTTCAGAATTTAGTGTAAGCAAATTTCGTTCCCATAATTTTTTTTAAGTCATAATTTTAAATTGGATAACAAATAAAAAAAGAAAGAAAGAAAAGAAGGGTATCTTTTCATATTTAAAATTTAATAAAATGATATTTAATAAGTACCTACTACAAAATATAGAAATATTATCCCCCTTAATCAGCTGCTAAGTTCTTAACCAGATATTTTCTTTAAGTGCACAGTAAAAATCACGTTTATCCAAAGCGTAAATACTGCCACTAGATCACTGAACGCCTGGGATTTTGGATAAACGGTCAGCGTGGAAGAGCGGCCATATAAATGGAAAGTGTTTTCCGAGCCTCCCCAGATACAAATCGAGCGGATCGATCGAAGAACTTGGGAACTTTGTAGTGCTGGTGGTTCCCACATGGATCTCGTTCCAGCTGTGTGTGTCATAGCTTATCAACTGGGCCTCCGCCCCTCCGCTCCCCGCCCCTCTGGCTCAATTACACAAGCGTTTCGTTTCCCCCATCGAGTCAAAGTCAACCTTGGCACTTATCCACTCGAGTGGAGCGTGCGAGATGCACTCGGCAAACGGCTTTCAAATGGTTTCTGTGCGCTTGGTACGAAAAGTTTATAATTTCGTATTTAACAAAAAAAATTAATGTTTTATGCCGTGAGGGGGAGGCGTGCACTAAAGTTTATAAACATTTTCAGTGCTGCCCTCGGTGGGTCGGTTGCTCGGTCGGTTTCTATGGGAAACCATAAGTAACCAAAAATATGGTGGGGTTCGACTGTTTTGATATAGTCATGTATTTCTCAAACCAATGTAACAATTTCTTGCCATGTAAAACTCAATATAAAGCTTCAATTTAATACACATTTTTTTGTAACGAACAAAACATTAAACAAATAAATATTCTTGCCATTTTCCTGATGAAAAATAAATCAATTGTTTATATTATCTATATCTAAGCATTTATTATTTATTTCGAGAAATAAATATATTATTAAATACCAATAATAATTATTATAATTGTTACTAATATTAGTTCAAGTCATAAAAAACATTCAAAAATTATAATTTAATAATTTGTATCCGTCAAATAACTTTATCGGGGGCTCACTGTCGTTTTGATTGTTGCTGATGTCATCAAAAGTGTGTCAGCGGTTTCTCTACCGGCGAGCACTCGCGCAGCTTGCCTCTCGCTCTCGTTAAGTACCCCTCTCACTCGCTCACTTGCCCGCTATTCCTCTCTCTTTCCCACACCCACCACCGCTGCGGTCAACGATCTCCGAAATTTGGAGCCCGAGTTCGTTGACCCACCGAAAAAGAAAGCACCACTTTTTACAGGGTTGCCCGCTTAGTTTTCTGATCGCCTGGTTGGCGCAACAGGCGTCTGATTTTTCTTTCAATCGTCGATCGGTGGTGCTGGTGGTTTCGTCGGTTTCAGTGGTGCCGTTGGTGGGTCAGGGACGGGCCCTGAACGTGACACCGTTGGCGGCCACTCACCTTGGAGCGTTGAACCTTGGGCGAACCTCGGGGTCAGCGGACGGAACGCGCCCAAAAACTGGGTCAAGCGAAGAGCATCTGACGCGTAGCCTCACTCGGATGAAATTCACTTTCGTTTTTTATGTAGAAATCGATAGCCGGCTTTGCTCGACGACCAGGCGACCAGACAGCGCCAGCCAACGAACCGTATCTGAGTATCTGAATCCGTACTGCGTTCGTATCTGTATCTGTATCTGCCACGCACAGTGGTCAAGATAGCCGAAAACAATGGCAACAAAAGTGGCACTCAAATGGTTGAATTTAAGAATTATGTATCCTCAGGTATTCCTAAACCGGAATAATAAAGGTACTTTTGCGCTTAATTTATTTATATACTTATAATATATATTTATTATTTTTTAAATATAAATAAATATTTCATTTTAGGTATACACTCTTTGATAGGAACCACTTGATTAACCCAACCTGTATCGATCTCTCAGATGGGAACTTATGAATATATCTTGAAGTAACATGTCACTGTGCGTCGGCGGATGAGCTGGTTGGGTCTGTCCGACCGCCGCCTTCACTTTCGCTTTCAAAACATGATCGATAATATAGCGGCAGCGGGTAACAGGCCAACATAATGCCAAGTGGCTCGCACTTCAGTTCGCCGTTCGTTTATGGTGACCTCGTTTTGCAGTTGTTGCTGGCCTTTTGGTTTCGTTTCGTTATGTTTTGTTGTTTTCATTTTTGTGTCGAATCTTAAACAATCGTGTGGAGTGGAAGGGGGAGATATGTCCAGAGCAGGTCGCTCGTAATGCGGATTTTAATGGTGTATTTAAAGGGCAGGGGTTTCTGGAGCAGAGCGGATATCTCAATGGGCGAGGGTCCTTCGGAATCAGTTGCCAGTTACATTGCCATTAAAACAAGGCTTATTGGTTAAAAGAGCAAGAAAAAATCAGCATCTGCAATGTGGCCATTTCTGGAATACAATTAACATAAAATAAAAAATTGACATCGCTCTTCAGAATATTGGAGCTATATTATGGCACATTAGTGTTCTTTACTGAGTAAAAATCTCTTGCAAATGTTATGTTGACATATTTAAAAATAACATTTTTGTATATTTGGGTTCTATTATTCCCTAGGGAAACTGATTGTGTTGCTCGTTTTTACAACCGCTTCTTGTTATTCGAAGCAATTGATATTGTGTGCTGTTCACATTGTTCTGGAAATCGCAGTCGCCGAATGCCAGTGCTTCCGAATTGCTAAGTGCAAAGTCCTCCAGCATCTTGATAAATTTTCCTGAAATAATTGCTTCATCCGGACGAATGACTGGTCGTAAAAAAGCAATGTCGAAAATCAACAAAATATCATCTCCATGGGCAGTACCTACAGTGAGCAAAGCGTTAAAGTTTCTGATTATTGAATACCCAGTTTATACTCACCGAAATATACATCCGTTCGATTGGATATTTGCTGACCTGCTCCGAACTCAGAAGGATTATCGTAGACATACGAATATACGGGTCTCTTGCCATATTCACGATAAAGATCTAATACATCTCGCACGCTGTTTCTAAAGAGAATATCGGTAAACATCCGCTGCAGATCCCAATAGTTTTCCACGCTGAATTTTCGATTTCCCAGATACTGCTGCCTGAGTTTCCGGGAGAACTCATCCATTTCAATAATAGTTTTGATGGAGTCCCGGTAGAACAGTAAGTAGGGTACCCAATCAAACCAGCGATCATTTAGTTCTTCTATCCAGGTCTCATTAGTTCTTGGATTTTGTTGGAGCAATTGGGCAGCATTATAGACTCCATCCTCGGCTGTGTGGGTCACCAGCCAAGGTACCTGAGCGACCTTTCCGCTTTTTATCAAATCTCTGGGTTGCTGGGTAAAAAAGGCCTCTGGAGTATCTGCTGGTTCCACAACAGGTCCGAAAAGGGAAAAGGGCACGTAGGGAAGTACGAAAAAGCTCGGAACAGCAGCGACTATTTCAACGGCCGGCTTGGATTTCAAACAGCTCTTGAGTTCCGCAGAGTTCTCGGCTTGTCCACAGCCCACTTTGCGACCCAGTTCGAAGGCCCGACCTCGTCCACCCTCCTGGACAACCCAGGGATTGAGGGCATTGCCGCTCACCGACACGGCAGCTCGGGCAAACTGTCCAAATTCCTCGTGCAGAAGCTGCAAATGAACTGAGGCACCACCTGCCGAGTGTCCAATGACTAGAATATTCTCCGGCATTCCACCAAAGCTGGCAATGTTCTGTCTGATCCAACGCAGAGCCAGCCGTTGATCCTTCAGTCCGTTGTTTCCTGGCAGTTCCTTGTCCCCAGTGCTGGCGAAACCCAAGGGTCCAAGGCGATAGCTTATTTTAACCACAATCAAGTTTCCACCGCGCATAATGCTGTCGTGTCCACTGGCCACTGCTGAGCCGAACATAAAGGCACCACCATGGATGAAAACGAGAACAGGAAAGCTGGTCCTACTTGAGTTCTTCGGCTTGTAGATGCTCACAGTCAGGCAGTCCTCGACTCCCATAAGTCTGTCTCTGAACTCGTTCCATTGTAAGCAGAATACTGGTGGAGTGGTGGCGTTGAAAATACCCGTCCATCGATGACTGTACGGCTGAGGAGCCTCGAAACGAAGATCTCCAGTGGGGGCTTCGGCATAGGGAATCGATTCGTAGCTGTAGAAGTTTCCATTATCCCTACCACGTAGTTTCCCCTGGGCCAGCTCCACCAACAAGGGATCATCCGGATCACTACTAACGGAAGTGGTCCAAAAACAGGCCACCAATAAGAACAATATTACGCAGTTCATGTTGCTGACTCTGACTGATTCCGACTGAAACTATCAGCGTTTCCGTTCAGATTTTCGGTACCCGGAAATCACTAAAATATCTGGAAATTTTGCTCATCGCTTTAGTATATAAATAGAACCAATTTAACACTTGAATATTTATTCTGTAAAGAAAAAACCTAAGACTCTAATTGGTTTGTACCTCTTAATATAAATTAAACATTTAATTCCATCGCTTGCATAATAAACGGCATTAAGAAAGATTAATAATAGCTAAGGAATAATAGCTTTTCTCTTCTTATTTATCTTTACTTTTGTTGTAACTTTTAAAGCCCTCTGTATTTTTCTAGTTGCTCATTTTGATCAATACATACTATTAGTTCTAAATTATGGTTACCCACTCTATCCCAACCATTCTAGGTGCCCTTCGTGTGCTTATGAACTCCTTGCCGACTCATTTTTATTGGGGGCCTTTGCAATTGTTTTTTTTTTTTTTCATGCCGAAGCGGGCGCTTCTGGTTTTCCAAGGTTTTCCAGTTCGATCGAGACGACAAGCCCAAGGTTTCCTTGCGTTAAATTCGTATGCCGTCAAGTTGGCAGCAGCAGCGTTGCTGGCCCTCTTCTGTTGGCCTGGCCAAAATAGAACAGCAACGGTTTCTAAATAGTCTTTCGACATATTCACGCTCTCGATTCCCCGCCCCGAAAAGTACCCTTCTCGTCATTCGGCAAAGCAAATAGTGCTCTGTTTACGCAAATTTGTGCTGACCAGCAGTCGGCGGCCGGCTAGAAAAGCCGGCAATACGGATGAGATTAGTTTTTTCGTACTATTTCGATCCGGCGTTCAGCGATGGGGAGCAGCTGTCAAGCAGACGGGCAGCATGAAATTTTTATGCTGATATGAAAACAACAGAAACAAAACGACAACGTGCGAGTGCCATTAAAATCAACGTGAAACAACAATTAGTATTCAAGGTTAACCAGAAACGAACCCGCGAACAGACGGCGACGAACTCAGTTACCAACTGGGGAAAAGCAATTGTTTAAACAGACCCCAGCGTTGGGCCCCTTGAAACCGGTTTACTGTGTTTTTTTTACTCATTTGTTAACAATTTATAAATAGCTATTTTAGGATAGCCCCCACTTGGGGACCAACTAGTAGTGGCCTCTGAGTAGGGCACTCCTAGATGAAGGATTATGTTGAGGAACTCTTGAATAAAATTTGTAAAAAAAATACTTAAATTCGATAAAAATAGAAGTTTCTCCATATGGCTGATCATGTACCTACATAATAATCTCAAAAGGGATACTCTGCTATAGAACCTTTCTCAATTAAAAAAGCTCAGATACGCAAAAAAATTACTACTCGCTCGGTGTGGTCATCTGTTATAACGTGCTCAAAGCCAGAAAATCTTTTTTTCTTTAACATCTGAGGTCAATGAACTGATGGAGCTGCCCAGCAACCTTTGACAGTGGGGTGTACCTAAGGTTTCTGGGCCCCTGGTCTTGTGCCCCAACTCGATTTCCTACATGGCAGAATTGTTCGTCATCAGTGGGGGCTGTAAATAAAGAGTCGGGCCCCCTTTATGATTTACGGGTCTCTCTCGAGGAGAGTGAAGCATTCACTTTCGATTTTAATTTTTCTAGGAAGCTTTTTATAATTTCGAACAGGCGAACAGCTTGGGGCAGACGCTCCAACTGCCGATCACACAATTGTGTTTTATAATCAACTTTTTGAGTGCGGCTCTTCCGGTTGTCTCTTTCACACCCGCGGGCCATTGATACAATGGAGTGTTTTTTGTTTTTCGGTGGCTTTTTGGTGTTTTCATGGCCGGTGACCTACTTTTTATTCATAAGAGAGCACTGACAGAAAAATAAATATAAACTAAAAAGGTTTTATAAAGTAGTTTTTTTTTCTTTAAGAGTGAAATTTTATTTTAGAAGTTTACAAATTATAAGAGTAGTTTTTATTTATTCAATTTTTATACCCGTTACTCGTAGAGTAAAAGGGTATACTAGATTCGTGCAAAAGTATGTAACAGCTAGAAGGAAGCGTTTCCGACCCCATAAAGTATATATATTCTTGATCAGGGTCACTAGCCGAGTCGATCTAGCCATGTCCGTCTGTCCGTCTGTCCGTCTGTCCGTCTGTCCGTCTGTCCGTCTGTCTGTCTGTCCGTCTGTATGAACGCTGAGATCTCAGAAACTACAAAAGCTAGAAGGTTGAGATTTCCCACACATATTCTTTGGCTTCCTACGCAGCGCAAGTTTATTTTAGCCAAGCGCCACGCCCCCTCTAACGCCCACAATCGCCCACTAACGTTTTTAAAATGGGTCCTGCGCCCACATCTTTAAAGATATCCGAGAAGTATAAATGCAATTTTGTTGTGTATATTTATACCTATCGAAATGTAGAAGACATTTTTCAAATCGGACCATTCATTAAAAAGTTATACGCAATCAAAAATTATATATCTATCTCCCTCGCACTCCCTTTAGCTGAGTTACGATTATTAGTCGGGACACCAACCCGACACAGCGTTCGCACTCCCTTTAGCTGAGTGACGGGTATTAGATAGTCGGGACACCAACCCGACTATAGCGTTCTCTCTTGTTTATTTATATATTTCCTTGGAACCTTTATATATAAATTTGTTTTCATATAATTTGTTCCTTCTTATGAGAAGCTTTTCGAAAAGGTGTAATGTTGTAAGTGTTTCATTCAACTGTTTAAAGTATGTTTATTTTTGGGCTTACTTCCCATGATTTACCCCTGTTGTTGAGGAGCAGTTTAAGTTGCTGCCGTGCGCGTGAAATCCGTTGTAATCCTCGGGGGGATCATAATTAAGCCACAATAACTTGTCATATTTAAGCCGCTCCGGGCTGCTGCTACTGCCGCTCTAGCTGCGAACACTCCGCTCCCATGGCAACAACTCATTAAACACCCGTCCTCCTTTTCCAGGTCTCACTGTGGGGCTGCGCAATGTCAACGTTCGCATCCCGTCCGCCGTTAAGCGCGGCGATAATGCGCTCTTAATCTGCAATTATGACATCGAGAACGACACGCTCTACACGGTGAAGTGGTATCGCGGCAGGCGGGAGTTCTACCGCTACACGCCAAAGGAGAATCCGGCCTGGAAGATATTCACCAAAACGAACGAAATCGATGTCGAGGTGAGTGCAGAACAGTCCGACCTTTAACTAGCCTGGATTTTTTGGACCTATTTGTTGTGGAAAATAATTTTATTATGTCAGAAAAATTTAAAAATATAAAATTACAATTTTTTTAAATTTATTTATATATTAAAACTAGAACATTAAATAATATACAGGGTTATAATTTCTCATTTAAGATTCTGAGTTAATCAAAATTATAATTTTTAACTTCCAAAATATATTAAAAATTAAAAAAAAATCCTAAAAAGTCAATGGTGATTACTCTTTAACTACTGCATTTAAAAACTCACAAATCATAGAGCATACAAAATAGTCAACGTGAATATCGAATAGCCAAGTAGGCAACACTTGCTAAGTGCCCCACAGGCTGTTGATAATGATGATGATGGGGTTTATTGAAACTGAAAGACAGTGGCGGGGGTAAAGAAATGGAAGCAAAAGAGTTGCCAGTGTAAATTGCTTTAAATAACTGAAGGCAAAGTGCTGCTGATGGGCTTCTTTGTTGCTGCTGCTGCTGTTGTTGCTGCTGCTGTTGCTGCTGTGATGTTGCTGGTTGCTGATGGTATTAACGACAGCAGCAGCAGTTGCAGCAGGGGGCTGTGTAAACAATCGACCTGTTTTCGATGTTCGTGTGTGCATCCATGTTTGTTTTATGCATGTTAAAAAGTTTTAATTAACAATTTTGACTTTCCATTTGCTGCGCTCTTATTGTTGACTTTTGCTGACATTTCGATATTAAAAACGACGTTGCAAAAGGACAAAAACCGCATGAAATAAAAAGAGTGCATATATTAAAAAAGTGTCGAGGGTCAGGCAGTGAAGGTTACGCCCATCTTATGTAAGCACCGGCGTAAATGCTGAAAGCAAATAACTGTGGGTAGAGCACTATGGGATTTGTTTACCTGTATGCAATTATTTGTCGAAAGTATAAAGACCAATTGGAAATATAGATTTTATGGCCATCGGCATTTAATGAATAACGTGTGTGAAAGAAAAGAGAACTGTAAACAAGTTATTTATTTTAATATATTTTTAGATTTTTAATCTATATTATTTATTGCTAAACTCAAATCGAGAACTTAAATTAACCTCAATTAAATATCGAATTTTACAGACCACCCAATCGAATGCCAGTCATGTCCTGTTGCGAAATGTTCCCACCTCGATTTCGGGAAAGTTTGCCTGCGAAGTGTCCGCGGATGCACCCACCTTCGACACTTCCATCGTGGCCGCCGACATGGAGGTGGTGGGTAAGTAATCGAGGACGCATCCGTCCACCTTCCGCTGGCTAACTTCAATCGTTTCCCCATTTTGCAACAGAATTGCCCACCCAACGACCCATAATTACCGGCATCCATTCGAGGTATCGTCTGGGGGACGTTGTGAATGGCAACTGCTCATCGGATTACTCCAAGCCGGCGGCGAATCTCACCTGGTGGATCAATGACATTCAGGTGCCACCCAATTACCTCCGCGTCTACGACATTCAGCGCCATTTGGCCGAGCACCTGGAGTCGTCGGTTCTGGAGATCAATTTCGTGGTGACAGTGCATCACTTCATCAAGGGTCGCTTGAAGGTGAGGCTTCCTATATCAGTTAACTTTCTTTATTTAAAAGTGGATTTTTACAGTTAAAGTGCTCGGCTCGAATACACGAAATCTACGCGCAGGAGAGCGAAAAACTAATTGAGGAGGATCGTCCCAGGATTCTGGCCTCGGGCAGATCCCCAGACATGAATATGTATCCTTTTGATCAGCCCGGAGATGTGGATGAGCATAACGAACTTTTCTTGATACACTCAAGTGAGTACCACAAAATGACAAAATATTTATTTTATTTGGGATTTAATAATAAAACTCCACGGTTTCACATATAAGAAAGCTTTATTGATTTTACTGTAAGACCCATCTTTGTTTATTTCGCCAACCAAGGCAATCAATATCCCATTTGATTAACTTCCGGTCATTAGTAGGTGAGCTTTGTCTGCTGTTGCTGCTTAAAAATTAGCCCACAGATAGACAGATTTGGCTGATTCGGGGGTCGACTGACCCAGGCAGGCCTACAGATCTGGCCCTGATTGTTTTTACAAGCCAAACATATATGCACAGGGGATACATTTACGGGCACGCCATTACAGTGATAAACGGTGGGGCATTAAATCAAAGTTAGCGAAAAAGGACCCAGCACCTTATTATCCTTGTGTGAGTTTGTGTATTTGTGGGTTTGGTCCTCTGACCGGTAGCGATTTATTAATGCTCTGCGCTAAGCTGGAAGCAATTAATCCAAAGATTAATTTGACCGGCGGGTGCCCTTTCCCTTTCCGCAATCCGATTTCAATCTCATTTCGGTCTGTTTTATTTCAGATGCCGCTGCCGGACCATTCGCATGGAATCCCATCCTGTTTTCACTACTGTGGCCAAGTGTCTGGGCTTTGGGGAACCTGTTGGAAGTGCGGTATTTCGGTAGAGTGGAGCGGTGATAAGATTGCCACTGGCAGGAGAGATGGACTTCAGGCGGGACTTGAGACTGGAGAGGAAGGAGCTCGCCCGCTCGGGCTCGGCAATTATGGAACCCATATTATAGCGAATCGAATAGCAAATCAACAGTGACGGGGTCCTCAGCATACCGAATATACCTACTCACATATACCTATACCTATGTTAAGTACGTAACTGTAAAGACAAATGCATTTCCAAAGACAAAGACCCGTACTCCTCTATCCCTAAGTCAAGTGTAAATAGGCATCGCATACTCACCACGAATATATATACCTAAATTTATACATACATACCTACATATATGTCTACTCTCTAAGCAGGATTCTAAATGTTTGCTTTCGTTGGGTTTTGTCGAGGATTTATTGTTAAGATTGTGGTTTCTAGGCGGATTCAATGTTCTGTTCGTCTGTGTCTGATTGAAAAACTGTACAACTAAAATGTTTAGCTATAGCGTTAACCTTAGTGTGTGACCCTAAGTTAAAAGTGTGCGTAAGAAATATTGATGGCAGCCAAATAAAGATGGTTTTATTTGATCACTTATGAGGAGGGTTTTTGTGATGATAAAGGGAAGAACGGTATGTAATTATGGTAAGGATATGAAATGAGATAAATCCAAATTCACTCAACGAACTTTCCCAAGATTTGGCTATTATTTATTACCAGTATTTACTCTCCGGTTGACCATATCTCGTCAAGGAAAAGAAAACACAGCTGAAACTAAGGATTTCTAAGGCCGAAGTTCGTCAGCCGCAGCGAAAATGAAAAACTTGTAATTTACGTGACAAAAACAACGCACTGCCGGCGACAGAGACGCAAATTTGGAGTCACAATTGGCGGAGTGACATGAAAAACAGCGACAAATGGGTTGGGCTGAATTCGGCAACACCCACTGTGCAATGTGGGCTGCATGGGTGATGGGTAAAGGGTAATGGGTGGTGGGTGGTTAGGAGTGCCTTTCTGCTCCTGCGTGCAATTTCGCACTCGAGTGCATCTGCATCCCAGCTCCTTGCTAAGCATCTGCATTCGGGGGGCGAAACTGGGCGGGAGCACTGTGGCAACAATTTATTTGGCATGTGAGTGCTCTGCTGGCGCCCACTGTGCCACGCTCGCCTCTTGTGTTCCAGAAATCTATTTCAGTGTTTTAGGAGATTTAAAATCTCACGAAAAAGTAAGTATATAGTTCTATTCTTAGTTAATCCTTTATTAAAATCAATCATATAAAATCGTTGAAAATATCTCAAATTCAGACTCTCTTAATTAATCCTTGAGAACATATTTCGTTTGTTAAACAAATAAATAATACAAAATAAATAAAGCTAACACTACACAGAAATAAATGGACCGAATATCAGATAAAATAGAGATTATGTTTATCTTATTTTACAATATTGGTTGGAAACAGAACTTTTACAACTTTTCTGAAAAGATAAAATATCAAGTTGATATGTTTGAATCATAAATATGACACTAATCATATCGGTTTTTAATTGATATGAAATAAGGTTGAAATGACCATATTTCATATCGAATTATTTTTCTGTGTATGAAAAGAGAGTTAAGAAAATATACCAAGACAGAAATCTTCTCAAGGTCGAGACTTCAGATTCTTTTGATTATATCGCCCTGTGAGAAACTATACCTTGGAACACCCCACTCCGTTCTGCTGGCTTCGCTGCATTACTGTCGTTTGTATCTGCATCTGCAGAATGGCTCTGCCAGGCGGGCCAATTGCTTGAAAATGACTTTTGGCAGCGGGCAAAAAGCGAGCTGCAGGAGCTGCTTAATGGACAATCGAAAACGCATTGAACTGGCAATTTTGGTTTTGCTCCCGTGGCAAATTGATTTCCGTTTGCGGTCGCATCCCAGCGTCAACTGGCCTCCGATGACAGCCGCCGCCGCCAGGTGGCGCACTCATTAAAGCTGCACTGCGAACCGTCGAAATTGGCAGTGAGTCGTTTGGGTGGCTTTTGGCTGGGATGTGGGTGGTGGAGGGCGGTAGCCAGTGGGTGGTTTTGTGTGGTCCAACCACTTGCCATTGTCAAAAGCAGTCGAAACGAGCCGTGGACGAAGCGAAGGAGCTGCTCGCATCGTAAGCTTTTTTGCCGTCCTGCTTTTGACTTGCGTGGAACAAACAAACATTTGTTAATTACTTTTCCGGGTGCAGCCACAGAAAACAGAAATCCGATTCATTTTCCAGTCCTTTTTTCCGCTCTTCCGGACAGTTGGGTATTTTTTGTCCCTCCCTTTTTTTGGCACTCACAGGACTGTCCATTGTTCTAGACGCGTTGAAATTGAAATTAAGCAATTTTAACTTTGACAATTACGACACAAAAACATCGGCGTTGGACATGAAAAGCAGACAAGTTGTGGAGGAAAATAAATTGCCACAAGCGAAATTTTTGAACAACTTGTCATCTGTTGTAATCAAAATTTAAGTGTGCCGGATTAAACGATGACTATTAAATATTAAGGATATTATTTGTAAGCTAGTCTAAATATTTATTTTCTTTTCCAAAAGAATCCCAAAAATATACCACAGGGTATATCGACTTATAATCCCAAAAGTATGTTACTAAAATTTTATATTTACCTGTTACAAACTAAGATTGGAAGAAATAAAATAATTCGAGATGAAACTATGTAGCACCAACATTGATTTCTTCTATTTCTTTAGAACACTAAAAGAATAGTGCATATATATTAGAATAGAATATTTTAATATTCTTTCTTGGTTCTTAAATTAACTTTGCGAATGATAAATATTTATACGCGTACTTAAAGATATGGTGCTCCTGCTGCGGATCAGTAAACAAATGAGCGGAAGGTAGTGAATTAAATATATAAAATCAATAAAAGCTATGTATCGACGGGTTGATACCTTTTATTTTGCTTCTTAGTTACAAGTTATTTTTCAGGGAGCTTCTGCAGAAAAGCAACTCCTATCAATTTTTGTAAATTGCATAAGAATTAGTTGAGAAACATTTTTCAGTTTTTTGTATTTTTCTATAGAAGAGTTTGTTATTAAGTAATATGTTCGTTTCCTAGAGGGTGTTGGCAAATGTGCAAGCACAAAAGCCATTAAACTTTTCTAAACAAATACAATCAGATAAAGAAAACCTTTAAAAATTCAGGGTCACGTTCCATCTGGAATAGAATAAATAGCTGCGATCTAGATGGTGAAGACTTCAGAGACTTTCCAACTTAACTTTGAGAATGTGGTGCGGTGCCTTGGCGATTGTGTGTCTCCTCGTGCTGGGTTCCTCGGAGGCCCGCAAGGGATTTGGTCCCGGAGAGCAGGACTGGGGTTACGTGGACGTCCGCGAGGGGGCGCACATGTTCTACTGGCTCTACTACACCACCGCGGATGTGAGCAGCTATACGGAGCGACCGCTAGTCCTGTGGCTCCAAGGCGGACCCGGTGGCTCCTCCACGGCGCTGGGAAACTTCCAGGAACTGGGACCCTTGGACTCGAATGGCGCCCAACGCGAGGGCAACTGGGTGCAGCACGTCAATGTGCTGTTCATCGACAATCCCGTGGGTGCGGGCTTCAGCTATGCGGATAATACCAGCTTGCTTGTGACCAACAACGAGGAACTCATCGACGATCTCATGACCTTCATGCTGCACTTCTACAAGTTGCACAGCGCCTTCAAGGATGTGCCGCTGCACATTTTCTCCGAGAGTTATGGTGGAAAGATGGCCCCCGCTTTGGCCATCCGACTCGACGAGGCCATGAAGTCGGGTGAGTTGGCCCAGCCGGGAATACTCAAGTCGGTGACCATCGGCAATCCCTGGATATCCACTCGCCACATCACCCGGGAGCACTCCAAGTACTTGTTCGTCAACGGCCTGATCGACGAGGATGGGGTGGTGCAGATTGATGCCCAGGAAGAGCGCATCCTTAGCGCCCTCAAAAGTCACGAGTTCGAGAACGCAACGGATGAGTACTTGAAGTGGTACGATCTCATGCAGGTGCTCACGGGCAAGATGTATCTGTACAACACCCAGACCCACTTGGATCCCTCCGAGGATCGCACCTATGGGTATGGGGATGATTTTGTGCGCTTCATGGAGGTGAATGTAAGTGAGGCCCTGCAGATCAACGGCAGTTACTATGCGTCGCAGGTTATGGATGTGCTGGGCAGTCTGCACGGAGATCGTTTGAAATCGGATATTAATGCGAGTGAGTAATAGAGCCGCTGAATCAAATTATTTAATATATATAATTTATTTTATTTATTTTTATTCCAGTTCCCCGTCTGCTAAACGAGACCTCCGTCAAGATAAATATTTACTCCGGTCAGTTGGACTGTCTGGTGCCCACCACAGCCACTCTTTCCTTGATCAAGGACTGGGCTTGGACCGATAAGTCGGCCTATCTCCAGGCCAACCGCACTGCCATTGTTGTGGACGGAATACTCCAGGGCTATGAAAAAATCGGAGGCAAATTCGGGATGTACTGGATCAATCGGGCTGGACACTTGGTCCCCTCCGATAATCCAACTGCCATGCAGTACGTCCTCAAATCCGTGACTCAGTACGACGGCAAGTCCTGGGAGTAGTTTATTTTATTTTATTTATTTACCACGAATAAACGAGCAGTTTTGTATAAAAATAATGAGAATAATTTTAGAACTCTAATCCAATCCCAAATCCTTCGAGTAAATTTCATGTATCACATATAAATGAACACTTTTTTATTTAAGTGGATTGGAAGTCGTAGGCCAGATGCCCACTTTCAGTATTTTCTGCTGACGTCTCGAGTGCAAAGCTATTTGTATTGTGGGCGGGTCTGTCGGCTGGGGGTCAATGTTTACTTTTCGGCAGCGAATAAGTAAGTTTTATTTCGTTTAGGGGTCTACACTGCGGCATTGCGATCGCAGACTCAATGGCTCTGCCACCACACTTCTCTCAGCTTTCTTGGGAATCGTTTTATATACTTTCCCAGGGTATTAAAAGAGAGTATTATTTGCCAGATATTTAAATAGAGGGTCAAATAAAATTGGTTTTCAAGGAGCAACTCATTTTACTTAACTAAATATTTATAGTGGAGTTAATATATTTTATTAATATACTAATAGAAAGGGTAATTCCACTTTCGATCATCACATTCTCTTCCAATGTTTAGTGTTTATCGGAAAATTGTATGTTTTTCCTAGTATGTATAATTAGCTAGCGGCCAAAAACTGCGTCAGATCATTGCGCATTTCCCGCCGGAGCAGACAGTTTAGTTCCACTTTCCTGGCCGTTGAATTGTGATCGCGATATGCAGCTCAATCCGATAAAAAATAATATTTGGGTGTGGGCCCTGTGCCTTTTCATATCGCTGACCTGCGTGCAAGGTGGGTTGGCCTTAAAAAAATGTGTTAAATTAAAGTTTAAAAATATTCTAAGTGAAAATGCTTATAGTTTTCCTTAAAACTAATATACGGACTGTTATTCCACAAAGATAATCCCTAGAAACGGTGATTTCTGACAAAATTCCGTGACATGCCTGAGTGTTAAACATATTTTTCCAGGACGCGTTGGTCTGGGACCCGGCGACCAGGAGTGGGACTACGTGGAGGTGCGCGAGGGAGCCCACCTCTTCTACTGGCTGCTGTACACCACGGCCAATGTGACTCGATTCGCGGAGAGGCCGCTGGTCATCTGGCTGCAGGGTGGACCAGGAGTGGCCTCCACGGGCAGCGGGGTCTTCGAGCAGCTCGGCCCCATTGACATCGAGGGAAAAACGAGGGAAAGCAGTTGGGTGCGGCACGTGAATGTGCTTTTCGTCGACAGCCCCGTGGGCACGGGATTCGCTTATGTGGAAAACCATGGGCGGTATGCCAGAAACAACCGGCAGATAGCCCTCGATCTCGTCCAGCTGATGAAGCAGTTTTTAGCGAAATATCCGGAGTTCCGAAGCGTGCCCCTGCACATCTTCTCCGAGAGCTATGGCGGCAAAATGGCCCCCGAATTTGCGCTGGAACTGCACTTGGCCAAGAAGAGGGGCCGACTGGACTGCCAACTGAAGTCCGTGGTGGTGGGCAATCCCTGGACCTCGCCGCTGGACAGCATCCTGTCGTATGCCCCCTTTTTGCTACAAGCTGGCATTGTGGATGATGATGGATATCGCAGAATATCGCGATTGGCCGGCGAACTGGCGGCACTTGTTTACGCTGAAAAGTGGCTGCGTGCCTTGATGAAGGCCTCCGAAGTTCAAGAGGAGATCGCCGAAAGCGGTGGCGGCGTCTTCATTTACAACACCCAGCGACGCGTCCACGTGGACGAGGTCTACCGGTACGGCGAGGATCCGCAGATGAGCCACTTCATCCGTTCCAACGTCACCCAAGCTTTGGGACTCGCCAAAATGCCAGTGTGGATGGAACAAAACTCAACGGTCTTCGAGCGCCTCGGCCAGGATATTTTCAAGCCTGCCAACCACATAGGTAAATCGTTTTTTTATGGTGTTACAAAATATATATTTTTAAAAAATAATAGTTTTGTTCCTACACTGAGAAAAAAGGCAATAAATTAAGAAAAACTATATTTTTGATGCATACTTTGGCCACTTTTAGCATCGTTTCAGTTAAAGTACTGATTTTTATGAGGTGAAAATAACGAAGTCAAATTTTTACTAAAAATATTGCCTTTCTTTAGTTCTTTTTATGCAGTAACTTGGCCCAAAAGTTTGTAAAATCGAAAAGGCGCATTCTTTTGTAAAAAATTCATATTTTCACATTTTTTATAAGGAGTGATTTTTTGCGAAAAAGACTTGAATGCCAATCGATTCGGAATTTAATTAGGAGCTCAGCGAGGTATAACATTCCGCATTTACTCTTTATTTCGCATTTTAGCAGACTTATTAAATTTTATATGAATAACGTTTTTTTTTCAATTTTAGTAGATTGATCCCTATTAATAGTAACATTCGAATTTTTTATTTAAAAATTTCTACAACTGAACCATATTATTTTTAATATTTAGATATTTATTACGATAGCTAACACACTAACCTTTTTTCCCCTTAGTTACCAGATTGCTGGAGGAAACTCCCATTCAGGTCGGAATTTATTCTGGAATTTTGGACCTACTTTGCGCCACGCCCGGCACCGTCAGTTGGATAAGTCGGCTGAAGTGGAGCCGCAGGTCGGAGTATGCGAAGGCACCGCGTACCGCCATCCGGATCGACGGGATTCTCGAGGGCTACGAAAAGCACGGCGGACGACTCAGCATGTTCTGGGTCTTTCGGGCGGGACATCTGGTGCAGCAGGAAAACCCAGCGGCCATGGGTTATATTCTGAAATACTTTACCAACTATGGATAATCAAGAATGGCTGTAAAATAAAGTTTCAGACTTCTTTCCATCAGCAACATTACAAGGTTCAGGAAGTCTATCATTTCAATCAGCCCCCCATCACTTTTTCCCCAGCTGAAGTAACTCAAAACACTTGGTAATTAAATGCCATAATTCTTGAGTCAAGGCCACAAGTCACCCACATAGGGTCCTCGCCCAGGAGCAGCAGAAGCAGCAGCAGCAGAAAACAATTCTCTAACAATTTACTCAAAATTAACTGAATCCCAGGATGCCGCCTCCCTGCCAAACTTTATGGCTGGGATGCGGTCGGCCGCATCACACGGACAGACATATTCGTCTGGCTCAGTGGCTCCTCATTGTTGGAGCGCTTTACAGGTGCACCGCATCAATTTATTTTCCACACAAAAGCCTATTAAAAGTCTTACACACTTGGGCATTGATGAGCGGCTGGGGAACTCCTGGGGAACGTTTTCGGGTCTGGGTAAATGTTTGCCAAATGAAACCACTTAACCTTTTTTCCTCCTGCCGCCGAAGGAAAAATGAGCAGGCGGAAGGTTGAGTTGCGCAAAAAAATCTGCGTTGCGGCTGGCGGGACCGCAGCAAAACAAATTAATTAAAAACTTAAAAGTTTGTCTACGGCAACGCCTCAATTGGTTGGGATGGGTGTGGAGGTGGAGATGGAGGAAATCGAAAAAGGACAAGAAAGGAAAAGCACGGAAATTCGTCGATCCAAGACCTTTTAACAAAATCCCAAAAGGTTGCCTATTGATTTTGCGAAATTTGTAGTTTTTTTGACAAATTGCGCAGCTATTTACAAGTTTTAAAAAGATATCAAGAATAGCTGCTGTTTTGTCAGAAAACTTTCTGAATTCGGAAAATATACATTTTTGAATTTTTATCTTGCACAAAAAATGTTCTCCATTTTTTGGGGCTTACTATATTTTTATTGCGACATTTAAGAATATTTTCCTATTAATCAAAAGAAGACAAATATAGCATTCTTTGCATAATATCACCAGATTTACCTCGGCTAATTTGATTTCATTTACCTTGATGGCAACCCAATTTGACAATTGATTTTAGTGCCGCAGCTCCTTACATATTTAATTTCGTGCGTCTTTTTACAGGAACTCTCAGGACCCCTTCCTTAGAAATCACTCACGTCTCAGTGTCATCAACAACTAATTAGGAAATACTTACGGTCAGGCATCGCAATCGAATAACGCAGCACAAAGGCCTCCGGTGCCGAATAGATAGATTGTAATTGGAGTCTATGGTTTTTGTTCTCGCGTTCCACACGAACCGCGCTCCGTCACGTCAGGGAGCCGAGTAATTTTCACACAAGTTAACGCCACATATCGTGCATATTAATTATAGGCAAATCTAATTTGCCCTCCCCACTGCGGGTTGTCCCCTTTTGCGGGGCAGGACCTCGACGGCAGACGGCAGTCACGTATAAGGACCCGTCCCGCTTCAAGTATGCGGATAATGCTCCTGCACGTATGCCACAGGCTTTGAGCAGCCCGCATCCTGGGCCAGGATCCCCTAGCAGCGAGTCCCGGGTCCCGGGTCATGTGTTGCCGCCACGTTTCCCCCGATCCAAAGGGGAAGGCTATTGTAGCCATGTCAAATATTTATAGGTAAGCATGCCAAGATTTACCACGCAGCTCACAAATTGCCGGCTCTTTCTTAGCCCGGCCAAGAGTAAAATAAATTAAATGCCTGCTGAAAACAAAGGAAAATTCTTCGCATGAAAAATGTGGCTGGTGTGCTGGATGTGGGTGGGGATGTGGATGTTGATGATGGGGTAGAAGGCGAGTGTAGAGCAAAATTAAAGAAAGCAAAGGTGAATAAATGGGTGCTAATTAGTAAACAGTCAAAGGCAGATGTTGCCAATTCTTCAGGTTCCGGGGGTTGAAACTAAATCACAATGGGAATTCCCGACCAAACTCCAAACTGTATCCCTTGATTGCCTTTTTTTTAAGTATACAAATCAATCCTCTATTCGTTACATATGGGTAAAAATATATGTTTAACTTTAAATTTGTTCTTCAAAACATTCAATATCACCCAGGTCCTCGGCGGTTATATCACTGTAATCACTCATCAGATGCTTCACTCGCTTAAAAAATAGCTGCACATTTTCTGGACTTTGAAACATATTCTTTTTTATATCCATTTTGGAACCATTCCAGATGTTCCATTTACGCATGCGCTGTATAACTTCTGCACAGAATTTACGTTTCGAATCTATTTCCCCTGCTTTTATGTGTTCCAACTGCTCTTGACGTTTGCCTAAAAAATAGGTTAATATATAAAAGAATAAATTTAAATTATACAGTTTAAAGATTTATAAATACTCACGCGAATCAAAGCGCCGATGGGCTTCTCTTAAATACTCATCCCGCTGAGATTCCTGATATTTCGTGACTATTCCACAGAAGCGCAGATCACTGGTAAATTCCTTGACAGCCACTTGGTCTTCTTCTCTACCATGACATAGCTCGTTGAAGTTGGGTCCGTCATAGGGGAACTGCGTATGGAATGTAGCGGTTTCAAAGTCCTTTCGGTGGGCATCCTTTTGGGACATCCTGTTAGCCACCATTGATACCACCCGTCCGTTGTAATATTTAAACAGCATCGTGGTCAATAGTTTCTCAACTCTTGGAAGGCAGCTGCAAAAAAATAGGGTTTAAATAAATATATTTTTAATATTCGCTTAAAGATATTTAATGACCCTCAAATATTTACTCACACAGAGTTTCGCAACGAGAAGAGTCCTGGCAGGGATTTGGTTTGCTTAATTTGATGCAGCTGGACGATTACGCAGTTGATGAGATCCTCGGCGGCGGAGGTTTGCATGCGGCACAGGTTTCGCACATCGTGGATGGACCTCCTGTCCCGCCATCCACGAAACAGGGCCTGAATGCGAGTGGCCGCGACATGGAAATGCTCTAGGATCGTGTCCTGCAGCCGCTGCTCCAACTTTTCCCACAGAGTTCGCCGAATCCGAAAGCCGCGCCACCAGCGCTGAATAGTAACTGCCCCCAGCCAGCGCTGATGGAGCAGCTTTTGGACGCGGTAGCCTCGCCAATGGGATTGGATGCGACGGGCGGCCATGAACATCTTGTAGTCGATCAGGAGCTCCGAAGTCCTTTTGACGGTAAAATCAGTACTCAACCTTTCTTAATAAATTAAGTATCTTTACTGTCTAACCTGGACAATTTCACCGCCAAGGGCCAGGTGGTGTAGTCCTGCTCTTCACCCATGAAGCTAAAAATCAAAAGGTCAGATCAATGATTTATTATTGCCATTATAAAGTTACTCGAATTCTGCTTCCGATTCCTTTCCCAATTTAAGGGCAGTTCCATGAGGGGTAACCAAATGCATTGTCTTCATATTGTTTTGTTCTCGGTGTTTTTTTGGTGTAATTAAAAACCTTGTTTTGTGTTGCAGCAACAATTAAAACGAACTCAAGTGGAACTCATGTGTAAGTTCAACGCATTCCTTGTGTTTATGTATTTTGAGTATATTCTAAAAGCAACTTGGATATGTCACCCAGGAAACACTATCAATTTTCTAGTAATAAATAACCGTTGAGTTTTTAAACCCGTTACTCGTAAAGTAATTGGAGAATTGGACTAGTGCCAGCATTTTTAAAGATTTTGTAAAATACCCATATACTCATCCAACATTTTTCATCGGCGCACCCGACTATAGCGTTCTTTCTTGTTTTTGTCTTATCACAAATTGAACGACGACAATTTCAAGTGGCAAAGAAGGTCATATGTTTATTCATTTTGGAATTCCCAAATTAAACAATCAAGATAGTCGGACTATTAAATTCTTTCTTGTTATTTTTAATTTTTTGGAACGACTTTTTAGATGCGAGCTGAATATGTAGAAAATACTAACTTATAAAAAGTAAAATAGGTACTGTTCCTGTCAGTTCTAATTCAATATACTCCTTTCGAGATGTAATACACTTTACTCATACATTTTGGCAACATATTTGCATAATTTCAGTCGAAGCTCAGGCCCAAGAAACGTGATAACATGTGAGGAGCTTCGCAAAGGACAAATAGATTAAACTTCACGTCAACGGCAATGAAGCTTCTTCTTTCGAGGGGAAGACAATAAAAAAGTCAAGCGAAATTATTTAAAGGTGAAAAATTGTGTAATAAAGTGGGGGTAGAGGTGCTGCGGCATATTTGCTCGGTACTCGGTGCCACCTTGTTTTTTAGATCAACCCACCTGCGCCCGCTTCATGCGCTCAATCAATTTTCGTTGATTTTTTCTCATTTTTTCACATCTTGCTCCTTGGCTCGGCTCACGTGTGGACTTTTATATTATTTTCCGAAGCTGCCAAAGCTGTCCTGTCTCCATAGCTCTCGCATCGGCAGTCATGATGTCGGCCTCCCGGTGCGCTGATGTGTGTCGATATTTGACACTTTATTGTGTGCACATCATCAATTTTCAAATTATTGTCAAGTACAGCGAGCAATTGATGAGAAATCTGTTGAAGAAAAATGAAAAATAGAGGCTAGTATTAGTTGTTATTAAACTATGATCTCAGTCTAATAAAGAAAACTCTACATGAAATTATTAAATATAAATTAATATGGAACATCAGATTTAATATTGTCCTTAAACAGTTTCCGAACTTTTTCTTGTAGAATTATCCATGAAAATAGGGAAATTTGCACATATAATATAGTAAAAGAGAATACATTTTAAAGCATCTATTGTTTTACATTTTTTAACTTTTCTTTTAATATCTTTTATATATCTGCTCGCATTTATAAGACTAGCGCTCACGCACACATCCACACACAGTCATCGCACACTTGGTGCGCCGCAAAGTATGCAATCAATTTTTATAGCCCACATGCAGCGCCAAGCGGCGGAAACCCGACCTTCCAGCCCACTTCAGACCACGCCCACTCTGGCCCACCGACGCCCCCAACTCCACGGGAGCCGGAATGCTGCAATGTTTCACTAATAATTTTCAATATAATCAGCACCTGCGACGACGCCCAAGCATTTCCACAAATGTTCCTAATGTATAAACATTTGTGCACCCAATCCCATTGTGGGCGGTTGATGGTGCGGGTGGGAGGGTACAAAATTTGAAATGCCTTCGGGGGGCCTATCTGCAGGCGGCGGGAGTCCCAGAAGTCCAGGATGTGGCCGCGTAACGCCTTGCGATGGCATTAATTCCACCACATGCGGTTTCGGCGAAGGCTTTGAAAATGCGTAAATACATCAGCGAAAGAATTGCATGGAAAAATTACAATTGGCGAAATAAAAAGTTTTATTCGGTCGACATTTTTGTTTGATCCAGCTAAATAATGTCATCAACAATTCTTTGTAGAATTTTTAATGACATCTCTTATCACCAACCCGCAATGCAATATAAAATTTGGGACTTAACCGTTAGACATGTTTTTGATAGCGGGGTTAAATGTTCAAGTTTTCAGATTTCTTATAAGAATTATCTTTTAATGAATAATAGTTTTTTGTTAATTTTTAAGCTGTTAAAAAAAGAAGTAATCAAGCTGAAACAATATTTCTTTTACTATATATGTATATATATTTGTTATCTGGCAAAGCTAGTATAAAAGAGGGCGCTCAGTCTGAGGAGCGCTTATTATTTTTCGTCGCTCAAGTGAACCGGTCGAGTATAATCACTGCGCTTTAAAAAGTGAAAATAAAATAAACGGAAAAGACTGCAACATGTTGTGGTTAATTCTAAGTTCATTTATTTTGCAACATGTTTTAGCTATCAACGCCAACGGGTGAGTTTTGAGAGGAGTTTGAATTTCGGTTTCATTTCAATAAATATATGTTTGCAAAATCTAAGTTCCAAACAGGTTCTGTGATATTCCGATATTACTTGCTGCTCACTAAGCTAACTTTTTAAAAGCAAATAAATATATTTATATATTGATATATATATCATAGCACTTTGTCATTTTATTTTTTTTCTCGCTTTAAAATGCGTTTTTTGAAGTTATTTTTAATTCGATAATATAATCGCAGATCTTGTAATTTTACACAATCTTGTGGGTTTTCCTAGGAAATAAAGTAATCAGAATTATTGTAAATTCTTGGGAGGTTCATGTATGCGCCTCCCTCAGCATGATAACCCGAAGCCTTGCTTCCGATAAGAACTGTTGGGGACTATTTAATGGTTTCTTATCAGCTACGCATTTCTCTGGAAATGTAATGGTTTTGTTTGTTGATGATTTGTTTGTTGGCAATTATAAATTGATTTTTTCTTTGTTTTTGTTTAACTTAATAATAATAATTGTATTCATCTTTTGAATTTATAATTTAAGATTTCTAATTTAATCCCACCAATACTAATTAATATTTTGTATTCACTTCAGTATCTACTCCGTTGTGGCACCCCGGACCATTCGATCCCTCAACCCATTCGACGTGTCCGTTACCGTGCACAATGCACCTGGACCCAGCCAAATCTCGGTCAGCCTGTCGGGGCCCTCGTTCAGTAGGCGAAAGGACGTTAATGTTCAACCCATGTCCTCGCAGACCGTTAAGTTCGATATTCCGAAACTGACCAATGGTGATTACCGACTGAATGTGGAGGGCACTGGAGGCATTGTGTTCCAGAACTCCACCAAGCTAGACTTTGCCGAAGACAAGAACATGATCTACATCCAGTCGGACAAGGCCACCTATAAGCCCGGCGATTTGGTGCAGTACAGAGTGCTCTTCCTGAACAAGCACACCCAGCCGGCCGTCATCGAGAAGCCCATTACCATTGAGATCTACGACGGGGAGAAGAATCTGATCAAGCGGTGGAAGGAGGTCAAGCCGACGCAGGGCATTTACTCCGGGCAGCTGCAGCTGTCCGATCGCCCGGTCCTGGGCAACTGGACCCTCACAGTCTCGGTGAAGGACGAGGCCAAGGAGACCAAGGTGCTGGTGGTGGACAAGTATGTGCTGCCAAAGTTCGAGGTGACCATTAAGGCACCCAAGGATCTGGTCGCTACTGCTGGGAGCGTTCTAGCGACTATCCGGGCCAGATACACCTTTAGAAAGCCCGTCAAGGGCAGCCTCGTCGTTTCGATTGAGGGCAGTAAGACCGAGAAAAACCTGCCCATCGATGGAGAGGTGAATGTGGAGCTTCCGATTCCGGACTCCACCAAGAAGTATTTGAAAATAATTGCCATCGTTAAGGAGGAACTAACGGATCTCAAGCACAACGGCACGGCCTATGTTAACCTTCACGAGCATCGCTACAAGTTGGAGGATCTCCAATGGCCAACGCATTACAGGCCGGGAGTATCGTACAACTTCAGTGTTGTGGTCCGAACCTTAAACGGTTCCCGTGTAGACGACGCTTCAAAGAAGGTTTCCTTTAACGTGCTGTGCTGTCAGCTTGCCAGGACGTTCCCAGCTGCCCTTCAAAATAGCGTCGCCACAAAGGAAATAATGCCACCCGATTCTTCGTGCAAAAGTTGTCTTGTGACAGCCACATTCGAAAGTGCAGCCAGCATTGAACAATACATCTATAAGCTCGACCAGGCGGCAGTCAAGATCGAGGTTATTACCAAAAAGTAAGTTGTGTTTGAGGTGCCTCTGATATACCCATAACAATAAATATGTCTCCTCACAGACCCAAACTAAGGGAGTTGCTATACATCAATGTCACATCCACTTCGTATCTTCCGTACTTCATGTTTACGATAGTGGCTCGGGGTAATATCGTCGCCAATTATTTTGTGCCAATGGCAGCAAGGGAAACCAGAAAGGCTATTCAATTCAAACCCAACTTTAAAATGGTGCCCCAAGCCACGATATATGTCCATTATATTGTTAACGGAGTTTTGATGTCCGACGAGAAGACTATCGACATCGAGAGGGACTTTGGGAACACGGTAAGTAACCATAGCATATATACCCAACCGAAGATCAATTGGAACCATCCCACACAGATTGAAATCACGGCACCCAGTGAAGCAAAGCCCAGCCAAGAGGTGAGCCTTAAGGTGAAAACCGATCCCCATTCCTACGTCGGACTCCTGGCAGTGGACCAGAGTGTTCTTCTTCTGAGATCTGGAAACGATTTCAGCCGGGACCAAATATTGAACAACCTCGCCAAGTACTCCAATGACTTGGTGACCCTAACTAATGCCAATCTATACATCGATTTGGGTAGGTTAAATACATATATTTACTAAAATACCTACTAAACTACAATATCCCAACAGGTGGTTGTTATACTAATCCCGGTAAGTCGTTATGATAATTATTATATATATTTATTTAACTAGATATCTTATTTTATTAGCACAAAATAGTTGTACTGGTTCTTTTGCTAGTCGAACCACTTTGGCTACCGTTGGGTCCGGTAAGACAATCCTATTCAAAGTTGATTAGTCTTTGATTACTTAAATAAAATATTCTTGAATTCAAGGAACGAACTCAGCTCCGACCGACAATAAAGCATCAACCAGTCCGGAAAGTTCACCTCCCGCGATTCGAAAAGTATTCCCTGAAACCTGGTTGTTCTCAAATATAACCGAGTATGTCCTTTGCAATATCTTTTGGATAGTCCAAATCTAACACAACTCAACAGGGTGGACGCTAATGGAGAATACATCCTGAGAAAGACAATACCCGACACGATGACCTCCTGGGTTATCACCGGCTTCGCCATGAATCCCAATTCCGGCCTTGCAATGACCCGGGGTCCAACTAAAGTAACTGTGTTCCAACCCTTCTTCGTGACCACCAATCTGCCGTACTCCGTGAAGCGGGGTGAAGTGATTGCCATACCCGTGGTGGTGTTCAACTACTTTAAAGTGGCGGTCCGGGCGACTGTATCGATGGATAACTCTGAAGGTCACTACGAGTTTGTCGAGGCCACCAGTGCAAATGCGACCAAGGATGTAATTGGGGTGCAGAGGAGAAAGCTACTAATGCTACCAGCCGGCACCGGACGAAGCATTTCGTTCATGATTCGTCCCAAGAAGGTGGGAGTGATTTCCCTGAGGATCAGTGCCATCTCGCCGATCGCCGGCGACGCCATCCATCAACATCTTCGTGTGGAGGCCGATGGCGTGACCAAGTACGTCAACAAAGCCGTACTGGTCAACGCACAGAACAGGCACCGACGAAGCTTGGGTTCGCCGGAAAAAGAACTTATCGTAGAACAAGTTACCAGTGCTATAGAGGGCTCCGAATTCGTGGAAGTCCAGGTGGGTGGCTGCATTCAGGCACCCCAGCTCGAGCACCTGGACCAAATGGTTCGCCTGCCCTACGGCTGCGGCGAGCAGAACATGTTTCACTTTGTGCCGAGCATTCTGGCACTGACCTACCTGAAGGCGACTAACCGCATTGAACCCGAGATATCGAGCAAGGGTAAGAAATATGCGGAGAGTGGATACCAGAGGGAGCTTACCTACAAGCGCGATGACGGGTCCTTCAGCGCCTGGGGCAAAAACGATCCTTCGGGTAGCACTTGGCTCACCGCCTATGTTATTCGATCCTTCCACCAGGCGGCCGAGCACATAGACATCGATCACAATGTGCTGAAAGCTGGACTCGATTTCCTAAAGTCCCGACAGAAGGCCAGCGGCGAGTTCCCGGAACTGGGCAGGGTCATTCACAACAGCCACGGAAGTCCATTGGCCCTGACCTCTTTTGTCCTCCTGACATTCTTCGAGAATGAGGTGAGCTTGTCAAGCTTTGGCTATATTAACATATCAACTTTTGGAAAAAAAATGTTCATATCAGACCATTCATTTTAAAAATATATGAGCAACTAATGAAAAGGCCATTACGTTGCGCATGTGCAAGCAGTCGCTGCGAGAATGAAGTGTTTATTATGCAGAAGGTTATATTAACATCGTTAAAAAAATTCATCGCATCTACCCATGACCGTCTGTCTGTCTGAAAAAAATGTTCATATCAGACCTTTTATTGAAAAGTTATGAGCAAATAATGGAGCGCGTGTGCAAGCAGTGCAAGCAGTCGCTTTTCTGCTTGCAGATCTCCATCCATCTCGTACTTCCTTTAGCTGAGTAATGGGTATCTAACACTCGAGATATGGACTATAGCTATTATAATATTTTTCCTTTCTCACTCTCATCTTTTCACCGCAGGAATACAAGAACCAGTACAAATGTGTGATCGACAAGGCTGTAGCATTTGTGGCCAGTAAGGTGGACCAGTCAAATGAGCCATATGATCTGGCCATTGCCGCTTTGGCCTTGTCGATGGCCAAACACAGCAAGGATCAAACGGCCCTGGACAAATTGAAGCGGATGGCCAAGCAGTCGAATGGCCTCAAGTGGTGGTCCAGGTCAGACAATTGTGCCAGCAACGACGTGGAGATCACCTCGTATGTGCTGCTCGCTCTTTTGAACCAGTATAACACGGATGACCCCACTCCGATTGTCAATTGGCTGATTAGCAAACGCAACAGCAACGGAGGATTCGTATCATCACAGGACACCGTTGTGGGCACCATGGCCCTAACCAAATTCGCAGTCATAGCCAACGAACCGATTCCAGAGATGAACATACTAGTGGGATATGAGAATGGCCAGAAAGATATTCTGGTAACTCCCCAAAATGGTATGCATATGCAGACGCACGTACTGCCGAATAACATTGATAGGGTCACATTCACGGCCGAGGGACAGGGACGTGCCCAAGTCCAGCTGATGTACCGCTACAATGTGGCCACCCGGGAGCCGAGTCCCAGCTTCAAGGTGACCACCAATGCCAAGAAATCGGAGAAACACCGACTGAATCTCGACATTTGCGGCGAATATACTCCCATCGCCACCGCCGACAAGGGAAAGCCCACCAACATGGCGCTAATGGAGGTCCAACTGCCATCCGGCTATGTCAGTGACTCCGAATCCTTCGCCGGCATCGAAGCCGTTCCGGATGTCAAGAAAGTGGAGACCAAGAACGATGACACCGAGGTGCACATCTACTTCGAAAAACTGTCGCCCGGCGACCGCAAATGCTTCACCCTCAAGGCCATATTCACCCATGCAGTGGCCAACCTGAAGCCATCGTGGGTTCGACTCTACGACTACTATGCCACCGAGCGCAGTGCCACCGAGTTCTTCCACGTGGACTCGTCCCTGTGCGACATTTGCGTTGGCAACGAGTGCGGATCTGGGTGCTAAGGTGTCGAGACATTCCATATTTTTAAAATACTATGTAACTAAATAAAATTATTCAAGAGAAAATTATTGAAAATATATTTTTATAGGACAATGGCTAGAAGGATTTTCAAAAGAATATTTTTTGAAATCATCGCGATGGTAGCAAACCTCGAGAAAGTGAGAGCCCTTTGCGACCTTTTCTTTCGGTCTAGATTATGTTCCTAACTACTAACATCAATCGTTGCACATTCGCTTCGCCTTAAGCGAGATACTATATCGTTTTACTTCAAACAAGGCAAGGGTCGTCGAGGTTATAATGAGTTCAAGTCCAAGTTCATCACTGTCTTGGGGCAAACCCCAGGCGCCATACAAAAAATGCTCAGTAAACACGCTGTTATCAGAAATATTTTCGATTGTTCACAGAATCTATTGCTTCTTATATTAATCTATCACTCAATAATGAATTTTAGCAGAACTATTCTAAGAGCCGTCTTTGCGACTACTAACCCAATGCCGTAGATTTTCTTGATTAAGCATATTTTAAGAAATACGGCAAGCTGCTTAACTCCTTCCCTCAGTAGTTTTCGTCTAATCTATTTTAAACTTATTTAAATTCAAAAATTTCAAATATTCTAAATTAGTCTTGGTAAAGGGTATTTCACTGTCCCCTATCCCAACTAAACTGTTTCTATTGTGCACTTGTGTGTTGTCCACTTTATAATATTTTTATTGAAGCAGCTTGCCCATATTCATGGGAGCCTAATGATAGGAATTTACATTTTTTAAAACGCTTTATCAATGCTCATTCCCCACTGATAACGCAGTCTGTCAGTTTTCAATTTTTCAATAATCTCGGAATTTGTTTGCCTGAGTTCTCGGATGAGTAATAATAATATAATAGATGTGATTTCCGATGGGTGGATCAGGGACCTCAAGAGTGAGGCAGACTGATAAAGCACATTTCAGTAGCAATCAGAAATAATTAGTGATTTACTGATTGTTTTAAAACTTCTGAGAAGAAATAAATTTAATATATTGACTTTGTTGCATAATAATAAGCAACACACTTTAATCTTTGTTTTTACTATTTTTGCTTTGCTATACTTATCACAAATATAACCCCTGAACTCAGACGTCATTTCTGCAATGGGTGGGATATTAAAACTCCGCCCGCTGGCTTTGAAGGATTCAAGTTTACTTTTCCCAAATAGCGCATTAAAAACTGTTTGGGTTCTTCCTTCCGTTGGCTGATGAATGAGCTCCGCTGGGCAGGGGTTCCCTCAGTTGACAGCCAGAGCTTCGCCTTTCGTACTTCGTCCTTCGCCTTCCCAGTTTCCCCTTGCAATTTGAGTAGACGGTTTCTAATAAACATTAAGTTGACATGAAATACACGCCAAACAAATGAAGCAAATGCATTTCAGCCCGGTCCGTGGGTGGGGGCTGGGGCGAGGGGCGTGGCCAGATGCTGGCTAATGCCGCCTCTTTTCAGACCGGCTTTCACCGCCGACACCGCGACCGAGAGGACGTGCAGCGAGAAGTGCACAGTGGAACGAAATCCGAAGGAAAGTAATTCAAATTTGACCATAATTGCCTTCTGGTGTTTTAAAAGTGATTTTTTACATAGCAAGAAAACTAAGAAGTTTTTTTTTATTACCAAACCGACATTTAATTAAATATAGAATTTTTCTCGTCTCTTAAAGATTTTCTTGGCTTTAATACTGAGACAGAAATTTGTGAGATGGTTAATAAAAATTCTAAATAAATATATTTTCATTCCATGATCAGTGTACCTTAGAGCACGTTGCCCAGCTAGGCAAGTTTTGCTGCAGAAATGAGTTGTTACATGGGTCAGTTGGCTGTGGGCAGGCAGACTTCCTCTGCCTGCAAGTGGACCGTCGACGTGCGGCGCGGTTTTCACCGAACACGACTCTTACATACTAATGTTGGAAATATATAATGGTTTATATGAAGAATACGGCAAACTGTGTAGCGGTGTACGTACATATATATGCGGTTAAAAATGAATATTTCCTGCAGGAAAGTAGCCGGCGGAGGGCAAATCTGACACGAAACATTTGCGTGACAAGCAAAATGTTGGCACATCCTGGGGAGTCTGGGGCTGGGAAAAGGGGTGCGATGAAGTTGCATTTCAAAGAGAGCCAGGAAAATAATTATGGCCCAAATCAAAATAATGGAGAAGAGAAAAGCGCAGCGCAAAAAATAAAGAAGACCGCAAATTAGAAGTATACACAGAAAGTCCCGCAATGTCAGGAGCATGGAGTCAAAAGCCGCAGGACATGTCGACAATTTTCCGTACCCATGACATTGAAAAAGAACTTTCCACAGTTTAGGGGTGGAGTTAGACAAGCCTGATTGATTATGTAGACAGAGCACAGACCAACGTGGGTTTATTTTTTTGGACTAGTTAAATTTAGAAGAAAACTTAAAAATATTAAACCCACATAAAGTTAGAAGTAGGAGAATATTGGTTTGTAAGTTAAGCTCCACATAATTAAATAATAATTAACGGACAATATTATAGTAGTGTAACATAGTATTATTAAAATCAATATTACAGATTTAGGAAGATTAACAATTTCATGTGATCAGATATAACTGTAGCAATCTTATTGAAATCTTTGACAGTGCCAAATTTTTTAGCAGTTTTTGAGATTCCTTGTTCCGCAAAACTTGTTGCCAAGAACAATTTCTTTAGAAATAGAAACATTCATGAAAAACATGGGGAAATTAACTGGCCGACAAACAAGAGACAAAGCAGGCCAAAACGAACGGAGGCAGCCGTCACCGTCAGCAGCTTCAATTTGGCAATGTCGGATTGACAACAATTAAATTTGCCTCCTGTCTGATGTCGCAATGAGACGGCCAATCAACTGCCTCTTTGCACCTCCGCAAATGTCGTCGTTGTGAAATTGTTGACAGAATTCAAATCAGTGCCACGGGGCAAACTGCACCGCCTCGTTTCGTCAGAGGAACGCCACATCCACATCCACATCCAACTTCGCTGCTGATGGAAATGATGATGTCGTGTCGGCAATGTCTGTGTCATAAATGTCACTTTCAATTTCGTTGCCTGGCTGGCGGGACTATGGACGAGGTGGGTTCGATTAAAGCGTGTTTTGAATGGCAAATTAGCTAAACGCTCTTCTTGGGCCGCCTTATGTAGCGAAGGCAAATTTAATTATGTCAGCCTAGCGCTGTGCATCAAGTCATGCGACAAATTGCCACATGTGGCAGAAGTACAAATATATTTAATTCCATTCAACTTGGGTTTCAAATATTTTTAAAAATATTTTGATTATGTGTAGAAAATGAGTTTTTTTTTTTTGTCATTTTCAGTGTCTGTTTAGTGAATCAGACAAAAAACCTCTCGATAGTTCGATTGGGATGGTATTGATGATTACTTCTATTTTAATTTCTCCGGACTCTTTCGACTTCTAAAAAGTCAAAGTATCAAAATTTGAACGGTGTAACGTAGCTGATTTTTAATTTGGCGGCTAGAAGTCTTCTCGCGGAAACACTCGGTGCTTTTTAAAATATAATTTAAAAAAATCAATATCAATTTCGAGAGTAATTTTGTCTTTAAATTAAAATGTCTGAGTTTTAATTAATTTTATATTCGAACAAATGAACAAAAGCCTTAAGTGTCCTCGCAGGACGAGAGCTAAGTGTCAGAGGTTACGGGTTTCCAATCGCGCCGGTTCTCGTGCTCGCCAACATCCTGGTCCGTGAAAGTCTGGGCCGGCAACGAGTGCTTCCGGCATCCTGATAACTGATTCCTGATTCCGGCATGCCGACGACTGTCTCCAGACAAGTGTACAAGCAACTATAACTGTCGGCAAGTTGGCTTTATTACTTCCACACTGTTGAATATGCATATAAAAAGCGAATCGGCAGCGGAGGGTTGCTTTGACGACTAGCGGCACGCCCTCTTTTGAATGGCTGGTTGGTCGGTCCTTTGGTCCCTGGGTCCTTTGTGCTCCTCCCCCGGGGCTCCTGCCAAAGGCCAAGGCAGCCCATCCCAAGGCGGGTGCATTATCACTTGCCAGCCAAGCAAAATATTGTGGGTGCATTAAATATTTTTCCTCTTGCCGCAAGACAAAAGAAACGCTTCACGAACTTTGGGCGGAGAATGAGGTTTGGGGTGTGGGTGTGCTGAACAAACTATGCGGGCTCGAGATGAGCCAAGGGTTCCTCTTCGTTCCGTTTCCAGGCCTTTGTCTGCGTTTTATATTAAACTATTTATGCCTGGTCCTAGGTCCTCACTCCTCGCATCTCGGCTCTTGGCCACCGGATCTCGAGGAGTCTCGGCTCGGTGGCGCTCGAAAGCCGAGACTCGCAAAATTTACCTACTACGTACTGGTAGCTGTTGGAAGGGGAAGAGGAGCTGTGCGGCGCATTTTTATCAAGCTACATTTTGTGGGGGAATTTATGAAAAATTTAAAACAATTATGTGGCTTCGGCCGCATCGCTCCGGAAGCAGGAAGGCTACCCCATTGATCGCTTGGTTGGTCAGTTCGGCGCCAGAGCCACCAGAAATTGTTCAAGGCATTCTGCGATGCCAAAGTAAGGAATACCAACTATGCATTGATTGGTTTCCTCCTTATAACTGGGGCACTAAGAGTTTGGGAGGACAAAGACCCAAGTTAACGTAAAGTAGTCAAAAAATCAAATAGGAAAATAAATAAATAATTAATTTATGTAATTATAAATCAAATAAAAACACCTCTTAACGAGGTAAAAAACTAGTGACGACCGCACCTTCAACATACAAAAGTTCTGATATCAACATTTGTGACGAAAAATTATTACACTCGTCATTAAATAGACTTTCTAATATTTTCTCATGTCGGATTTTGACAAATGACCCCTTATTCGACGGGTATTTTCAAAAGGAATACAACTAAAACATTTCGAGGGGGCATTTATCTCCACCGGCCCCAACAGCTCCAAATTTCGAAATTTTCACTTTTTCACTTTCACCGCTCTCTCACCCAAGCCAATTAATTTTCTTAGAGTCTTGGTATGCAATCCTGTTAGTTTTCGCAATATCTTTCGATAGGTGTATCATTCATTATAATCGGACCATCACAGTAGATTTTCATTTCTTCGTGTATATATAGTTGTCGCCTTCGCACACTCTCCTGGTGCGCTTCGTCTCTACATGGACTGCCGTCCATAGTGATGCACATAAAGATAAGAATAATTACATTCACTGTGTTTAAATAATAAATAGTGAAAAGTCAACATGTGAAGATTACTGGTGAAAACGAACAAAAGATAATTAGCCTTGATTTCTCCACGAAGACCCTTTCAACGTACTTATATCCTTTAGTGGCCCGGTGCGGTCAGTGCAAAAATTATCGCTAAGCCGGACAAAAATCAACGAACGAATCATTTCGCATGGCCGCCTCCTGCGATATAACTGATTCGACTTCCGGCCGGCAACTGTGATGCATTCTTGTGGCCGGAAATGGTGGAAAATGTTGCGGCATAGACAAATTTTCGGGGGCAATTTTGCAGTGGGTTTCGGATGGTACGGGGGGTTGTTGGTTGAAAAACTTAATTAGCCTGCCGCAATCCAAAAACCAATTGGCATGGCCCAATGGTGATTGTTCCTGGAACCATGGCAATTGTCTCCACTGGAAAATCAATGGCACAAGCCCTAAATGGGCGATTGATGAATGGAAAGCCGCCCAATTGTTTGTGTGTGTTTGCTTGTCAAACAATATTGCAGCTGGCAGATTAGTTGGTTATTTTGACAGGAGCTGTCAGTGTGTTGTGTTTAGCACCGGCGCCCTTACTTCGAAAGCCAGGATCTTCAGCTGCGTTTCCTTTCACGATATATATAGGACATGGAGGAGTTCAAGGATGGGCCTTAGCCAGCTGACGATGATGATTCTCATATCTCTGGTGCAGCCAGTGCATGCACTTCTGCTCGAGTGCCCTGCCACATCCGCATCCTCATCCCCATCCGCACCCCCCGTTTGCATCCACATCCACATCGAGCATAGTTTTTCTTTGGCTTCTCTCATTTTTCATGCGCGCCAGCTAAGCTTTTAATTAAATGCAAGAAAATTCAATTTTAATTAAAATTTCTCAAAAGTCTCTGGCCTGGCATTGCATACGGATAGCGCAGCGATTGGATGGGGATGCGGATGTGGATGCGGATGTATATGCGGATGATGGGGATGAGAATGAGGGATGAGTACTAGGTATGGGCTCTCGGGTCTTGTCCTGTTTTCGATCTGGGCTGTTCGACTACTCGAGTGTTTGCCAAACGTGTAAAATTGAAAATTAGGAAATCGAATTGTAATGCCACCAGGGGCAGGACCAAGGACGAAGGACGAACGGGAGAGGGATCCAAGTCATCAGGCACACAAAAGCAAAATTGTAAAGTAATTGGAAATGAAAATTCATTTAGGATCCGCATCGGGATGAGCAAGTGCGCTGGCGAAGGACTGAGGGCCTTTGAAGGGAGCATAAAGCATAATCCGATTGAGCTTTGTCATTTCGGGGAGCCCCTCAAACGGACACTGTTCTCGGACAGACGATTACCTCTTTCTTGGGGGCAAATAATCGCTTTCAAAGAACTTGGGAAAACACCATTTCAGTGTTCCAATATTGCCAGTTTGCTTTAGTCGGTTTTGATAAAAGTCTGCCAATGATTTGTCTTTAATCCAGGCTCCTCACAAAAAATTAAAAAAATATGTTATTCTAATAGAATGATATCTATCTAAAATTGTCGGCTAAAGGTTAATCCTCTTTTTGAATGGGAATATCGATTTGGAAAATGGTCGGAAAGTATAATCGCCTTACTCAACTCAATCCCAATAACTCTAATCCACACGTGACTGTCAATATTTTGATATTCGCGAGGGGACAAAGGGGGCTGGTGGCAAAGTTTTGAGTAAAAGTTTTTTAGCCTCCGAAAAGCCAGCGTCTGCGAGCATTTTGCACATAATTTAAGCGCTCACATCCCGTCAGTCATAAATTACACATATTACATGCACGTATAAATCGCAAACCAGATCCAAATACGTATGCGTTATGCGTTCGAGGGTCCTGCTGGGCCTGGGCCCAAAAGTGCGCCTCGCCTGCAAACTGGGACCAAAGTGCTTAACATACTTTTTGGCGCTGGGCCCACACGCACACACATACATTCGCACTCGCACACGGATGCAAACAGATACAGATACATGGGCTAAATCAAGGGACGCACGTAGCGCGAAAAGTTGCAAAACTTCTGCCAGCCCGCAAGTGAAAGCTGGAGGAAAGTAAGTCAAGACGCTGCCAAGTCGAGCTAGGGAATGTTACTTTTACTTGGCGGAATCTAGAGTCCCAGCCTACAGTTAAAATGGTCCATTATTTAACCCTTGATTGGGAGGCCTAGGGCAAAATGTAATTTCTTAAATGCATTTTGAATACAATTAAAATAATTAAATAGCAAGAGAAAGTAAACAAGTATCTGTATGTCAGATCGTCATAAAATTGGTTTGTAAAAAATAAAAAATATTTTAAATTTACAGTATTTGATTGGCGTTCTAGAATCGAGTCCTTTAATTCAGCATGTTGATATGCCTATCTAGTCTCTATGAAGTGTTACTGCTATTGGTTCTGTTTCAAATCGCCTGTTGTGCAAAAGTTCCAGGCGTCTATGATGAGCCACGTTTACCGACGACTATTAGGCCCTTTCACTATGATATAAGATTAACAACCCACCTGGAGAACTCGGGTAACCACAGCTACAATGGTAACGTGAACATTTCCCTCCACGCTCAAAAAACCACCTATCAAGTGGTGCTCCATGTGGCCGGTGTTAAAATCCAGGCCAAGAAAATAAAGCTATTCGGTGAGAAATCGAACTTTCAGCTACTAACCGTCAAGTTCAATAAAAAACGGCAGTATATGATGTTAAAATTCAACCAGCCTCTAAGGCTGGGCAAGACCTATATCCTAAGTATTGAGTTCGGTCGGTCGATGAGCAAGGAATCGGAGGATGGTTACTTTATACGTCACTATGTGAATGCAAAGAACTCAGAGAAAATGTAAATAAATTAGATTTCTAACAGTTCCAAGATATATAATTTTAATTTCCTTGCAGCTGGTATTCCATCTCCCATTTTGATAGAAACTTCATAAGGAACGCCCTGCCCAGTTTCGATGAGCCCGGCTTGAAAGCCACCTTCAATGTGACCATGGGTCATCACAAGCTATTCCAGAGCTACAGCAACATGAATGTGCGAGCTGTGTTGCCCAAGTGAGTTAATAGTTATCCGTAATCCTTAGTTCTTAATCCTTTGGTTCCATAGCCTTGATATTCCGGACTATGTGTGGTCTGTGCACGAGGTGACTCCTTTGATCTCCACCCATTTGCTGGCCATCTCGGTGAACAACTTCACATGTCGTTTCACCCAGGCCGCCAGTGCAAATCCCGTGAAATTCCGCACCTGTTCCCAGTCGGCTGATGTCCGTGAGACGTCCTTTGCCGCACAAATGGCTCCTCGGCTGCTGGAGTTCCTCGATGGTCTGCTGAAAGTGCCCCTGCCGCTCGAAAAGATCGATCAACTGGTGGTGGATGATTTGCCCAGCGAAGTTGCCGGGCATCTCGGCCTGATCATCTACCAAAGCAAACCGATTTTGCATCGTGAAGATGGTCCAATGACACGGTCCAAACTGCAGGCCCTCCAGCTGATGGCAAATGGAATGGCCCACATGTGGTTCGGCAATCTTCTGGGCAACGACTGGTGGTCGGAACTCTGGCTAACGGAGGGTCTAGCCGGCTACTTTGAGACGTTAACCATGGACCACGTGAAACGGGGAATGGGTCGTCGTCTGCGGTTGCGCAACCGCGAAGCTTCCTTGATGTACGAATCGCAGGTGGGCGGCCTATCCTTGGATCTCTTTTGGCCTCCAGCCACTGCAGAGGTGGAGAAGCACCTGTTCCAAAAGGCGACCAATCTAATTGGCATGGTGAACGGCTTCCTGGGCAACGCCACCTTCTACGATGGACTTCAGCGGCATTTGTGGCAGAACTCTTTCGCCAGCAGCACCGCGGATCTCTTTTGGCGATCCCTGCAGTTGGCCAGCGAAAGGGAGTTTTCTTCCGCTCCAAAATCTTGGGATGTGAGGAGTATTATGGAGACCTGGACCCGGCAGAGCGGCTATCCATTGGTCACGGTCATCCGAAGGGGTCATAATATTGTACTGTTGCAAGGAACTGCCTTGAACAGGAGCCGATCGGATCTGTGGTGGATTCCCCTGACCTACACTATCGAGGGGGAGGCGATGCCCAAAGAAACGAGGGCAAGGGCCTGGCTCAGTCCGTCTCACAGTCCCTATCAACTGGACGAGATAGTGCCCCATAGTCAGTGGATCCTTCTCAATCTCCGGGCCACCGGCTACTACAGGGTAAACTATGACGAGCACACGTGGCAGTTACTGGCAGCCACGCTCCTCGACGACTTCCGCAGCATCCACGTACTGAATCGAGCCCAAATCGTCAGCGATATCCTGTTCTTGTGGAAGCAGGAGCTGGTCAGCTGGACCACTGTCCTCAATGTGCTCAGGTACATTGTCGACGAGGACGAGTACGAACCCCTGATGGCCTTTGTTGTGGGCGTGACAAATGGTCTCTGGGGCATCTCGCCGGAGAGCTCACTTTCCATTGCGGTAAGATATGATATACCATCCATTACTGTAGGGAACTATAAATAAGAACAAAAATAATTTTCTTTTGATTTAAAATATTTTTATGTTTAATACAATTTTTAATTTATTACTTAATTATTAAAATTTTGTTCAGAATTTATTTCAAGAAAAAATATTTTAAATATGAAATGTTTTTTCAATGTTTTATCAATTCAATCGAGTTCCAGAGTCAGAATAAAAGAATATACTTCTAGCTTACCAATGATATTTTTAAATTAAAGTTTCAGTCGAAAATGTAATTTATAATTAATTTATTTTAATTATTTAATGAAATCTTTAAATTTTTATAATTTTCCTTACAGAAATGGCTGAGTATTGCTGGCAGGTGGTATGCGGAGTTCATCAGTTACACGTTCGACAAATTCGTGCTGCAGGATCGGAATCAGAATAGCCTCGACTACCCCGATTAAGGGGACCACAAACTAATGGGCCCAACCAGATACACACCCACTTGGCCATCCGGACTGCTTTTTCTTCGGGAGTTGGGAGAGGAGACGGCGAAATGAAACCGCCATCAATGAACCGCAATTGTATTTGTTTGCAAATAACTGAGCGTTATCTGAGACTATTTATCTTTATCTGCAACAACAGCAGAAGCAGCTCCGCACAATGCCGAAGGACCAAAGGAGCCAGGAAGGAGCAGCCAGCCACTGGGAACCGAGAGAGCTGGGGATCCACTTACAGCCAAGGCGCCAACTGAAATAATGATGCAGGCGAAATAACAATAAAGGCGGGGCCGCCAAGAGGAGGGAACTGGGCTGGTATAAAGGACACTATCGATGCTTCTTTTCCTTCCGCAGCGGTAAAGACAATGCCAGACCCCTAATACTGCAGCCATTTCCATGGCAATGCAATGGACTCGCCCTGCCAAGCAAATCACTTTGGCCGGCGGAGGGTTCAAGTTAAGGTCTTAAGGGTCAATGCAAAGTTTTGCGGAAGAAACTTAATCGAAGAAATATGAAGTAAAGTACCATGATTTTAGAAACATTGTGTGAATAAAAAAAAGCGCTTGAAAATTCCAATACCCTCTGCCGAAAATGCGGATAAGGAAAAGCATGGGGGAGCTGAAAAGCATATTTTACGCTTAATGAAATTTAGGCCACAGCCGTGGGAGCCGAGGCTTTGGGAAAGCGGAAGCGGATTCCGCCTAAAACCATGCAAATTAAATTTAATGGAAAATATATTACCATTTTCCGTTTTTGGTTATTTTGCAGACGCCCATTTTTGGTCCTCTTTGCTTCGTTTATGGCCAGGGGCAAGACAAATATTTATAAATCAAATTTGGCGCTATGCATTAATAACGTTGTTTGCTGCAACAAGTTCAGGCGAAAATTATTTTATTTCTCATTTGGAACAGAAATGTTAAGGTATCACTTGCATTCCCTGTGAATGTAATTATTTTAACATTTATTGCAAAACGTTCAATTAATTTTTCTATCGCTCTCCCTTTTGAGTGGAATTTTATATGAATTTTATGATAAATTTAAATGACAGAATGGTGCCTGTGTTTGTTTTTTTAATTCCCCTTTGTTTGTGGCCACGTTTAAATGCGGAAATTCATTAAGGCTGCTATTTATTTTCATTCTTGTCAAATAAAAGGCACCAAAGCATCCACTTTGCCCGTACGCAATGAAAACAAAAAGTCTTATGGTGTATTAAAAAAATCAATTATTGTAAAAGCAAGTAAAAAGTGTCATTATGTGTCAGCTCTGGCCATAATACAGTTGCAGAATGCAGTTGACAGTTTTATAATGACGTTCATTACGGAGGCGGGCAATTAATTTCTTTTAATTGCCCAGGTGCAGGCGGGGAAAAAGGTTAAAAATATAACCACGAAATGTGTAGGTGAGCCCTGATAATTATTACCTTTTTTAGAACTTCATATCAATATTCTGGTAAATATTTTAAGATTCATAACACTTTATAGAAAGATCTCCTCAGTGCTGCACCCAAACATTTGTAAATCATTTGAGTTTAAATCAAAACACTCCATATGAATATGTAAACAAACATCATAACCGTCAAGCCAAGTTAACCATTGGGCAACATTCGTTTGACATATTCTCATATCCAACTTAGAGCACATGTCGATTGCCCCCATAAAAAGGACAACGGCAGCAGGATCCAACACATCTCTCTCGGCAAATAAACATCCAACACACTGGGACTGGATTCGAGTCGTGTTGAATTTTTTGCATGAATTATGCAAAGGAGTGGGTTCAACTGTTGTGGGCGAGCTCCGAGTTCCGGGTATCCCAGGCTCCCACAAAGGGAATTCCTAAATGGGATTTGGGAAATCACAAGCCGAGCCAAGAGATGGGGAGCCGAAATTATAAGGGGATGGCGAGCTCAAACGGTGGGCAAATAATTTTGTTCGCTTTGATGGCATATCCAATTGCATTTAGTCTAAGTAATATTATATTTGAGGATGCTATGCAGCTTACGTGCCTGTACACAGAAAGAAATATAATAAAATTCTTTAAAAATGTGTACCTTAAGAAAAAGAAGGTTAAAACTGCCAGGAACTTTTTATTTTATTCCAATTTCTCTGTATATTTAAGCACATTTGCATTGCATGCGAGTGCAGCTATTAAAGCCTGGCCAATAAATTTTGGCAGCGTTAACTACGTGAAATCCCATGCCCATTTACTTTGGGCCCACGTCCATCTTTGGCAATGAATCCCCGGCCACCACCTGCAAAATTGCAACTTAACAATGCTTCAGAGGGTCGAGAACTCCTCTTCCACTCCCACTAACTTGGCTTTCGTACCCCATGTGGCAGCGACGCATGCGGCGTATAAATCAATATTGGCAATTTAAAATTGGCTGGCGGTGTATGAAGCCAATATCCGGCAACGCTCAGCAGCTCGAGTGTTTGTGTTGGGTCCTGGCGCTCTGGAGTCCTGGAGCGAGTGGGAAAAAAACTGTGCCTCGCTGCGGAACTGCGAAAAATAAGTGCCCCATTCGGTGGGTGGAAGTGCCCAGAACAGGCTCTTACAACTAGCCAGGGGTGTGTGTTTATAGGGATTTGGTATTCGGCATAACTCAGCCTTGACAACCAATCATATACATAAATCATAAAATATTATAAGGAATTGTTTTTTTTTTAACCTTGGTTTGAAATATTTTTTAAAATTCCCAAAAGCCTTCTGAAAATATTTTAGCCCACGCCACTGGATTTAAGGACACCACTGTGGATCTTAGACAAACATTATGCGGCACCCGAAACGTTCGTTCGTTCGATTTGCGTTTGGACATGGGTACGTGTGTAACAGAGTAATCGAGGTGGAGTTGGGTGCTATCCGAAGTTCATTAAAATACGCGTACGTACATTTGTGGTTATTTTTTCGCCAATGTGGTCAAGGGGTAAATAAAGCAAATAAATAGGTGCAGGTAGAAAACTCCACTAAATGACCGGGTAATAAAAAATAACGGAGTGTGGGTCACTGGAAAGTCGTTCTAAAGAATTACAGTTTATTTATTTAAACATAACACAATCAAAACATATTTACCATTTTCAAAGACTTCTGAAAATTAAAAAAATAGCTTGTATTATATTTTACAAAAAACCATCGTAGTAGAAATAAAATCCGTGAAAAAAACGATTATCACAGAGGGGATTGGATTTTTAAAACTGCGCAAATAAGTACCCCATCACTTGCAATTACTCTCTCATCTATGCAAATTAAATTTCGAAAATTTTATTTTTCCTAAATATTGAGCTGGAAGTCAAACAACAAAGCCCATACCCGCGGACATAACCACCTAATTATGCGCCAATAAGTATGCAAAATTAAAATATTATGCAAATTACATCGAATGCGGATAGATCGTTGAAATTTAAACGCTTTTGTTTTGACTTTTGGCCGGGCAGTGGAAGAGCGCAATAAAATTATGACATCATCATCGTCGTCGTTATCAGCAATGCGTCAAAAACAAATTACCCGCGCGAAGAGAGAAAGGTGGTGGGGAAATGATGCCGCATCAAAAATCTTGTTTACCCACTAAAAACCATCGAGAACCTCGGGTACGGGGCTTCAAAACTGTTTTTGCCGAGTGCGTGAAAAATAAAAATACTAAAACTGAGTTCGTATCTCTAGTTTTATTGTTGTTTGTCTGTTGTTATAATAAAAAATATTTCCTCGAAGAAAATGGTTGTGCCTAATAGGGAAATCAGTCAAGCATAAAGTATGGTAAACAGAGATAAATACCGAATGGCTATTGGCTCCCACTTTCTACCGAGAAAAATGAATAATAAAGTATTTGATGCTGAACTATTGGCATTGGTTGTGGAAAATCGATACGCATCGTTATATTCAATGGTTTAAATTGAAAAACCTAAATGCAATGAAGGTTAATGAAAACACGTTCAGAAATAAATCAGCTATAAATTGAAACGTAATATTCATGCGCAGATATAAATAAATCAACATATTATTAAACAGCAATAAGCGGTATAATTATTATTCAATTTCATTTAATGCTTTTTGTTGCCCCAAACCTATTTCTTTTTTGTGGGTGGTAATTTTATAGTTGGATTGAAATTAATAGGTGCCGTTCTGTCTGGCGTTGTGGGCGTTAATGCACCGTAAATTGCTTTAAAAGCAAAATATTGATTTTCACTCTCAAACCCAAATATTAAACTTTAATTTTCGCATGCCTTGTGAGGGCGCCAAGTCTTCCGGGTTCAATCCTGCAAGGCTTACCATAATGTTATTGGTGTATAAAACACTTTTCCTAATTAAAACCAATCCCGCCCCGCTGTTCGTTTTTTTTTCTTCCCCGCCAAATGCTCAACTATCCTTTGGGCCGTGCCAAGAGCTTAACATTAATTGCCGTCTTTCATTTCCCTTCCGTCGTCCTTTGCATTTGCACTCACCTGCCAGGCGGTGGAAAAATTGAAAGAAAAAATGCAAAAAAAAACCAAAGGTCCAGGCGAACGTAAAGTTAAGTAGGAAAACTGTAAAAGGTCTGATAAAAAAGTTCGGTGAATTGAAATGCCGGGGAGAAAAGCCGGCGGAATTGGAGAGCTAATAAAAAGTTTTCGCCTCCTTTCGAATTAAGTGGACAATCTTCTGTTGCTGCCAAATGCCGGCTTAATTACTGGCTTTGGCCTCAAGAAATTGCAGCTTGCAAATGGGACAATTTTTGGCAACAATGCATAAATAATTGAGTTTATTGATTCATTAAATCTTGAGCGACGATAAATTGGAGTAAAATGCAATTTGGATATAATCGTCGGCTAGTTGAAGTCATTTCCAGCTATGAATTTGACTTTAATGAATATTATAGAAATCCCATTTTCATTTTTTAATAATTTCAAAACATTTAAAAATATTTCTATTATATAATTTTTGAGGGCAGATTTCATATTACCGTCCTCAACCAATATTATTTCAAGAAGTCTATTCAATGAACTTGAATATAAAGTTGATTAAGTTTGCTCGGACGGAATGCGAATATTTTGGCAATTAGCTTTCTAATAAAGAGCCGAGATCTGAATCTGTTAATTAAGGCAAATATTTTACGAGAATATTTCTGCCACAACGCATAACGCATGCCGGAGGTAATTTTCCGAATTCGAGCTTTGCTTATCGATTTTCAGGCCATTTTCGAAGGATTCTGAGACACACACACACCCGCTCTCATGCAGTTGGCCTAAAGTTGTGCAATTAATTAATTAAATTTTGACTACAACCATGCAATCTCCATCTCCACGGCCCATTCCTATTCCCCCATCCAATGCGCCTTTTGTCTTGGCTCTGTCTGGCATTGTCGCTGCACAAGTTCTGGTGCACAATTAATCCTTATTAATTATACGCCGCCTGTGGATTTATGGCAAGTTTTGTGCGCTGGCATTTGGCCAAGACACACACGCACACACACACTCACTGGAGTGCGTTTCTGGGCCATGTAGGTTGCAAGTTGCCTCCACATTCCCTTCCCTTTTGCCACCATGACAATATCACCCAAAATTCCTCACATCTCTCCACCTGCTGCTTTTGACAGCTGAGACCCCGACAACAAGCCAATAGCCGATTGTCCGGCAGGGGCAGGCTCACGTCATTACCTAATCGCAGACAAAGGAGTCCTTAATTGCTCTCACCCAATTGAAAATGGCCCGGAGAAACAAGGAGCTGCTGGAAAACACAATGGCAAACATCAATATGTTTTTAATAACAAACTGTGCCAAGTATGAAAGTGATAAATCAAGAACTTCATCTGTTGTATGAACATATCTTGAAATATAAAGTAATATATATTTTTCCCTCACCTTTCTTACTTATAATTTTTGATTTGGGCGCATCACTATACACGTATTTAAAATTATGCAAATAGGGGTAGAAACTTTTCTCAACACCGTCAAGTTACGTTTTATTACATCCTCAATTCCTTGGCGACTGAGTTTCATAAATAAACGCACGAAATGTTTCTTTCTGGCAACTTTTTGTCGCCGCAGGGACTGTCATTAACTTAATGCTTACTGAGTCCATAAAAGTCACAGATTGTTTCGTATCGGCATCTCCGTCTATTATCAGTTTGTATCCTCTCATAGGAATGCCCTGCGTTCTCAATGGTATTATTTAAATTAAAGTCTCTTAACATGTATCTTAACATGTATCATGTATCTTAAATGTGAACTAAATATTATTAAATATTTAAAAATTCCTTTAGACCTCAGCTCTGGAGAATTTTAATGTAGGACATCATAATCAGAGCAATGACTTTTTTTCCAGTTTCTTGAACTCTGATTAGGGTTTCGGAGAAACCAAGAAATCTGATGTTATTTCGCAAGAAATGCAATGTGCATTCAGTCGAATTCGTCAAGTACAACTGATAAAGTCCACGACACCCTTATCAAAACTGTATAAATACGGAGTGAGGCCCAGCCAAAGTCACAGTCTCTTCAAGCCTCTCAAGCCGAGCTAAAGATGTCTCCCAAATTCGCTCTTGCAATTCTGCTCTTCAGCTGCCTTCTCCTGGGAATCGCCAATGCTCAGCAACATCGGTATCCCCAGCAACGCCAGCAGCAGAGATTCCAACAGAGGGTTGGGTATAATCAGCAAAGGGTGAGAAACTATTTAAATAAATTAAAAAATACATATTTTAATAGAATTTTACCAATTTTTTCCAGGTTGGAACTCGTAATATGGATGGCGGATCCGTACCTCCTCCGAATCTACCTCCTCCGGATGTAGGTCTACCACCTTCAGATGGTGGTGCATTCAACCCGGACTGCCTGCCCAATCAACTGGCCAGCGGCAATGTTGACAACAAGAGACCCAGGCAGAGGCATTAGAAGGAACTGCCCGCAAAAACAGGAAGAAATCTTAAGTCCACATGAAACCCATGATAATTGAATTGAAGTGTATTATCCTAAAATCTGAAATGTCCTCTTCGTCGGCAAAACAAATATAAAGAACTACCTTTGCTCTTATCTAAAAATGATGTATAAAATATTATGATGTAATTTTTTATTTTAAATTTATTTTAAATTTACATATTTGATTGTTTTTTTTTTAATAAATTTCTAAATAATAAAGGACTACATGCCTTTTTAAAAAACCCCATTTATCTATTTTTTTAAATGTGACTCGCATCCCTGTGTTTTTTTCACATTTTCCTTGGGACTTTTCCAAACCAAACCCACACGTTTTGTATCTCTGATGTTTGACAGCAATCAGTGCGATAAAATAGATTGTCATTATCATCAGTGGGACATTGGGTGATTTCGTTTTTATATGCGTCCGAGTGGATTTTTTCCGTATTTGCATCAATTTAGCAATCAGTCAAGCGCATTCTGTTAAACAGTAATTAACATAAATCAATTTAAATACAGCTTGGTTATGTAAAATGTTTATCCAACGGCCTGATGAGTTCACAGACGACATTAATTAGGCCAAATAAGAGAGGTTGACAAAAGGACTTTGGGGCAACAATTTTAAATGCAAAATATATATTCACTTCATAAGTTAGAGTGAATTTAATATTTTTATAATCTTAATTATTCTTTATTGTCTATAATAAAATAAAGGGAGTGATTTTTCCATTCGATAGATGATAATAAACGTTTTTTCCGTCGAGTTATTTGCATACTTTAGAAACCTTGATTTTCCATTGCCAAACAAAATCAAACTTTTTTTGCAACTGCGGCCAATTAATGTTTAATTAATACCAATAAGAATACACGCAAAAACGCAAAAATTAATTAAGCTGTGAAAGCACAAAAAACTATACAAATTTCTATTTCGTCTTTTTAATGAAAATTCCTAATAACTTATTTATGACTTTGCAAAAAAAAAATGCACAGATTTTTGTTGAATTTTGTTTCGGTACTATCGAAAGTGTCAAATTCTTTACAAAAACTAAAGCCGCGTAAAAAAGTTAATAATTAATTTGTGGAGCGTCATGAAGGTATAGCGAAAAAATAAAATGGGTTGTAAAACAAAGCAAACAAATATTGTGGGGATTCAAATAAGACCGATAAAATCGATTACGTGTGAAAATGTTGAGGTTGAATAGCTGTTAATTATAAATGATCATATCGGCAGCACAAGTCATTTAGCTAATCATATATTTACCACTTGATTTGCTGCTATTACTTTAATTAGTAATTTCAGTTATATTTTTATTTCATTTATATTTTGGTTCGAAACGCAACTACAAAAAGCCAAGGTCCTGTTTCTCGCAGTTTCTGCCACTCCCATTTTTCTTGTGCCAGTCGGAGGACCATTTACTTTCGAGACACAGGACTGGAGCCATTAAGTGCAATTGTATTGCGTTTTCGAGACAAAACACTCATCGCCTGTGTCCTCTGAAACGGCACGTATATAGAACGAAAACATTACAACTAAAAACCAAAGTGTGAACATATTGAAAGCCCTGGCTGCAGCAGCAAGGATTGCCATCGGAGGTTCCCACCATAAAGTACCCATTGTAAATAACCTACGCATCGGCAAGGAAGGACCTCCTTTTTCTCCCATTTTACAGCAGCGACGACTGTTGCTCCTTGCAGATGCTGTTGTTTTTCTAGCTGCTTTCACTTTACACCCAGGCGAATAATTCCCATTATGTATATACCTCTGCATATATGCATGTACATAGGGCTGGAGAGCTGCAAAAAATACTTCAAGTGTTCGCAATAAATTCCTTTAAAGCTTTTAAGCCGCAGCAGAAGCGGGCTGGTGAAAGGGCGGGTGAGCAGCAGTGGGTTAAGAGACCATAGGCAAGGCTCTGGAATTACTTAAAATGCGCTTTTAGGGTTAAGCTTGAGCACAGAGCCTCGCCTGCATCCATCATGGAGCGCTTAGGCACTTAAGCACTCCGGTTAGACCCTCGGGGTTGGGTTTTCAGGGCCATCTTGGAGTGCTCCGATTTTATGGGCAGCAGCCAAAGGTTTGGGTTGGTTATGGGCATAGTAACATTTAAGGAATCAAAACTTTAATTGTCGGTAGTAAAATTTTTTTTAAAGCTGTTAAAGCAGTTTAAAGTTCTTAAATTTCAGTGCCAAGATGTTAATAAAACTCTAAATATTCGTATCACTCAACGATAATTGACCTTTCTCGTGTGTAATTCTTATATAATCCTTTTGTTTGTTTTATGTCGATTAACTGGAAATAGACTTCCACATAAATGAAATCAAATGTAATAGGGAGATTTCCGCTAAATTCCTGATTGTATTTCTAAAGAATTGCAATGAACCTTAACATTTTACATTTACATTGTAGAAAACGTGTCAAAAATAAGCCTTAAGGATTTTCGAAGTGTTGACGTTTTAATTGCAACCAGCCAAGTATTTCCTAATTGCCTAAATTGACCTCGCTTTGCTGAGTACAATGAGGCAAGGTCAATAAGCCTGCCTCTTAACTTGATTTATATGAGAATGGGATTTTAGTGGGATTATTTCTGAAGAAGTAATTTTGTTTTCATAATTATTCGTGAAAATTACATTGATTGCAGCCTAATTAAAAGTCCAAATTAAATTTCCAATCGACAGCCTTTAATTTGGAACGTCAGAAATCACCTTGTAATTAAAATCAAACATCAATTTTGACTTTTGCCAAATTTTCCACAATCCTATTTAATCCTTTCACACTTGCACCGGGATTTGTAAGCACACATACACTAACGATGAATATAATGAAACTTCAACATCCTTGAAAACCGATAGGTGACATTTTCCCCCACATCGCAGCGAACAATGTAAGTCTCAATGCATTTGCTGCCTTTGTGCTTAATTGTAAATATTTTGCCACACACCTGATTCGTATATATTTGTGTACACTGAAGAAAAAAGGGAGTAACCAAAGTAAGAATTACATTTTAAGGGTTAAACATCATTACATTAATAGGAATAAAATTGTTTTTTAATTTTCCCATAATAATATTCTAAAATATTTTCCAATGTTACTCTTCGATTGGGTTTTCTTCAATGCAAATATATATCCAAGCGTGTTTGTGCAAAATGATGTGGTGGGCTGCTTGGAGGACTTGGCTCTCCGTTCTCCATTGATTTTGGCCCTAGGTGCTAAGATTACACAAATTGCAATTTATTTGTTTGGCCAACCGAAGCCAATGCAGGGAATCGCTTATGTATCTGGCCACATCCCGTCCTCCGTCCTCCTTCCATGTCCTGCACTGATTAATATGTCTTGTGTTTTGTGTATTTGCCTTTGTGTTTATGTTTGCATTTAACTGGCAAACTGGATTGGAATCGCTTCGAAGTGCCGGCTCCCCACTTCCCACCCACTTCTCACCTGGAAACCCGAGACCGGATTGTGATATGCATGACCTAGACAAATATTGTGCGTTTGCAAGCACTTTGTCATTGGTGTTACAGCTTCAGTTACAGCTACAGCAACAACTACAGCTAGCCGGCACCAATGGACACATTTGTTATTTTGAAATATTTTGTTGATTTTACCGGAGAGAAGAGTTTCCAGCAAGGACTCACATTTGAGGTTTTCATTTGGCTAAAAGCGGAGGCTACTGCACAAGCCATTTCTCATTGCCCTCCTTTCTTCGCCGCACTGAGTGACACACTAATTGTCCTGCTTGTTGTGCCCCGAGATGCATTCACCATTTGCAATTGGTTTAACCTGGCGTATGAGTGATTTAATATTGAATTATGGCTTCTGATTTATTTCGCATTCACAATCTGTAATGGATTTATGTCATCCTATTCGTTTCCTCCTGGTGTCTTCTATTTCTCTGACTTCTGATTGCCAAAAAAACGGGGGGCCAAAAAAAAAATTTTAACTCAAATGCTAAAGCAATTGCAGCACATTTGCCGGACGGCACTTTGCCAAGAAAAATAAAGCCCTGCCAAGTTCTTGGCGCAGTCACCGAAATTACTGCCCTGGGGTGTGAACAAAATGCAAATATTACACAGCTCATTAAGCCTGAATTGGATTTGGGGATCCACGATTTTAGCGCCTCCAAAAAAACTTGGCATCGTTGATTTCTTGAGCAAGCTCAAAAGTGATTGGAAAAGTAAATAATTTTAATGGCTCCGAGTTTTATATAATTTTTTCACAAGTTTTTTTTTAAGTTTATAAAGAAAATTACTTATTATAAATCTGTTAAAGATTTTTGCTTAGAAATGTTTTTTAAATTGCTTAATTTAAATTATACAATAAATTTAATGTTTTCTGAAGTATAAGGTAATTTTTGTAATTTTAGAACTTTAATCTTCATAAAACCAAAGCCATAGGATTTAAAGATTTTCATTGTACTTCACCTGAATTATATTATTACAACTGAGGAAGCCTAGATCCTAAAATCCCCATTCAATTGGCTTTCTCTTTCAGCCAGGTTTCCGAGGTCGTTCATTGCGGCCTCTAGTTAATTTATAATGCCCGACTTCAATGTTAATTTACGTTTAATGAATTTTAATTGGGCCCTTCCTAGTCCCAAAACCACAAACTGCCCGCGCTGCCACCCAACAAAATTGACAAATTACATTCGGTTCGGAGAGTCCCTTCTCTAAAGTGACGGGGAAAAATGGAGTTCGGCCGGGGACCAGGACGCTTTCGTCCTCTATGTCCTGGGCCCTTGCCATTTCAGTTCATTTTGTCGCCGTCGCCGTTGTTTGTTGTATTCTATTCTATTTCATTTTAGATTTTTTTTTCGGGTGGTACGCTTGAAAGGTCTAAAATCGCGTTCCTTGTGTGTGTGTGTGTTTTGGCCTAATCAAAAATTTCAAACACGTTTTATATTGGCAACGCAAAAGTCATTTATTCAATTTGCAAACCAGTTTTACGTTGCGTAATCTAATCAAAAAGGTTGCGACTCAACTCGACTCCACTAGCTGGCGATGGGAGGCCGAAACAGGGTCTACAAATGTATATGGCTCTATATGGAAGCCGCTATATGGAGGTCCTTTGGCCGCCTGCCAAAATAGCAGCAAAAAGAAGGGACAGAAACAAAAACAAACAAAGTCACCGAAAAAGTTCAAATGCCGAAAACTAAAAATAGTAAAATGGCTGTGACGTCACGGAAAACATTAGGGAAACGCAGATTTTCATCGGGAAAATCCATATACGGAGGACTGATGCAAACACGTTATGAAAAACATTACTCAATTAGGTTCAATCTGTCGGCAGCAGTAAATTGAATTAAAATACTTTTTTTACTCATGAATGAAATTCTTAGCTTTCGTTTACAAAGTGCCTTTAAAACTTTAATACAACCATTTAAAATAAATATTATACCGTATGTAGAATCACAATCAGCTCAAATACATTTTTACAAGTATGTTTTTTTCATGCGGATTAATGGGAAATTTGCCTTCTTCGTAAACAGTGGTGAACTGTGATAAGAGATTCAAAATGACCCTGAATTCTGATCTTTTAAAGTAATGGAAAAAAGGGAAGAATGAAAATTGTTTTGATCAACATACTTACATTTACAAATGTAAGTATTCTTTTTAACTAGAATTTTAATTTTATGGGCCAAGAGTACAAGTATACTATACTAAGAAAATTAACTCGAAATTAACCCAATAACATTTCCATGGAAACATAATTTCCACATAAGAAACAGATAAGCCTATCACATTTCTTCAGAATTGCAATAATCGTTTACTTCGTTTTCCTTATGTGCAATTGATAAAGCTGGCAGGTCTGGCGGTCGCCTTATCAGGAAGGTATAAATACGGTCTTCATCGCAGCTTCAGTCACAGTGTTTTCCAGTCTCTCAAGTCTAAAGAACTAAAGATGTCGCCTAAGTTTGCACTTGCAATTCTGCTCTTCAGCTGCGTTCTCCTGGGAATCGCCAGTGCCCAGCAATATAGGTATCCCCAGACATATAATCGGCCAAAGGTCAGTATAAATTATTAAAAATATCATTTATACATTTTAATCGAAACTCGTTAATCTTTGCTAGGTGGCCGCTCGTAATCTGGATGGCGGTGGCCCCTTACCTCCCAACTTCCCCCCACCAGCCGGCGGTCCTCTAGATGGCGGTGCTGTTAACCCGGACTGCATGCCCAATCAATTGGCCAGCAACACTGTCGACAACAAGAAGCCGAGGTCGAGGCACTAGTGGCAAAAACATATAACTCAAAGTGGAAACAATATCGTTATCCATTTTTAAAAAAACCTAAATTAATTGATTTGGAATTTTGTTTAAATGAATTAAAAAAAAAAAATTGTTTTGGTGGCAATAAACACTTTAAAAGCATTTTATTAAACTTTATTATTTTTTTGGGTCCTAGAAACCTATCATATATTTTATTATCATTAAATCAGTAAGTAAGTAAAGTCTGTTCCCCCCTTAAGTTTATTTTATGACGTGCAATTATTCCGCCAAATCCAATTAAAGTTCCACATTCAATGGCTTAAGGAAGTCCTTGGTTCCGCAACTGCGATAAATCGTAAAGCTCTGTCCCGGAATCGTGTGAATGCACTCGGCAACTGTCTGGGAACCCATTCCATCCCAGAAATCGGAGGATCCCCATTCCCATTCCCATACCCATACCCATAGACAAACCCCCTGGACAGACGGACGTTGCCCGATTAGTGCTGCGAACATGAAAAACAGATATGCTAACGTGGCAAACAGCCGCAACAATCGGAGGTAGACCTGCCACGCCCACCCGGTGAACGCGCGGGGGGCGGTGGGGCTGAGCCAATAAAGTGTTTAACATTTTCGCCCGTACATTTTAATGGGGAAATGAAACAATTTCGGGTGCCAACGATGGTGGGTTGGTGGTTGGAAGGGGCGTGGCCTCCACGCCTATATGCAGATTAAGCGCGCATTTAACAATTTTACGCTGCATACATTTAGGCGACCGGCCTGGCGGCAGCGAGCGAAATCCTCAGCCGGAGCTTCCATTCACTCGCCGTTTCAGTTTCTGTTGCATCAATAAATTAAATGCAGATTTCCATTTTCGTACATGCAATGTACTACGAGGGAAAATGGGCGGCAGGTGACCGCCCAGCGAATTCGGTTCAATATCGCCAAGCGAAACCAGCTCGGCAGTTAGGAGTGCCTGGGAAATTGTTGCATGCAGTTAATTATTTTGCACAGGTTTTTGTGCATCGCAACTCTTGCACTTGCCCCGGCGACTAATTGAAATAAAACATGCCCGCTACCCGGTTTAATTAAATAAGACCCAAAAATGCAACGACTTTAACTCCGGCTGGCATTAATAAATTTCACTTTTAATTGCTGCGGAAATTGCATTAAGCCACCGAGTAAGGTAAAATGTCATTTTCCAAGTTCGCCTGACACCTTTGGCTTTAATCAACTTGATGTCCCGCTTTTCCGCAAACCAAATGCGGGATTCGCTCAAAAGGAAAACTTGATCGGAAGGCGTCGAGGAAATTCTTCGTTACCATTTTGCGGCAGGCGTGAAATTTCGGGGCAACATGGAGAACAGGAAACAGCACTCAACAAAATAAATGTTTTTTCTAATAACATAGTTCTTTAGAAAAATATTTTTATTTCGATACTTATTAAAATGCTTTTTTTATGATTTTTAGCTTAACCGTTGACTTTTCAGGGTTTCTATGTCCTTTTTTTCGAAAATCTATCCTTGTTATCGCCAGCCAGAACATTAAACGATCCACAGCAATTGCCTCCTCCGGATGGGGGCAATGGAAATGGCATGCCTAACGGTGGGAATCCACCACCAGAAGGAGGTCCTGAAATTGGAGGAAATCCACCACCAGAAGGAGGACCGAAGCTCGGAGGAAATCCACCACCAGAAGGAGGTCCAAACACGTGGGTATCTCCCGATCCACCCAAATTTCGTGCTCCATATGGCTATATAATTAAATTATAATTAAATTGATTTAATCATTTTAAACAATATACTTACATTTTGTCTAGGAACTTGTTGTTGAGGATACCGATACTGGTACTGGGCATTACAGAATCCCAGCATAATGCTGCAGAAAAACAGAATAGAAAGTGAAAAATAAAGCGGCATCTTTAGCTCGACTATAGAGTCTTGAAGAAACTGGGATTTATATATTATTTAGCTGCCTATTTAAACGCTTTTGATAAGAGACGTATAGGCTTTATCAACATTACTTAAGAACAATGAAATTACATTGAACTTTATGGAGTGCACTGAATTCTTTGAATTTCCAATCGCAGTTGAATGACAATTAATGCGTTAAGCCCATTTCCAGGGAATCAAGATGAAAGGCAGACATATATAAAATAATGTGAAAAGTCGTTTGAAACAAGAACATTTTTACATTTAGCAGGAACATAAACATTTTTTAGTACTCCGGAGAGTGTACTTTAAATAATTTTATTTATTTCAGGAACAAGTAAAAGAGTAAAGTAGTAATAAATATTTTTAAAACTAAAAAAATAGTAAGAAATTTGAATTTTCATTTAGTTCTTCGACAAAAAATTAAAAAACAAAAATATTGTGAATTTTTGCAGTGCACTAGATTCTGGAAGAGAAATGTATATCGGATGAACCCCAACCTGGATAAGGTCCATTCAAACACACACACAGACATTTGGCAAACTCTTGGGCTAACCAAATCCAATTGGCCAACATTCGTATGCGATTTCAGAAACCAAATCTGGTAATGGAAGGGTGAGAATCGAGACCGGGACTATACGTGTGATAAATAAGGCTTTCGGTGGGCGGGGTGGGTCAGGATTTTGCTACCTCAACGTTGTCCGTTTACCTGGCAGCCATTTTGGCCTCGGCCCCCGGAAAACTTTCAGCTACCGAACTCCAGTTGGACAACAATTTTCCTTTCGCCATTCGCTTTTGCATTCTTTTTTTTTTTGTTTGCTCCTTTTTGTGTGCAGGTTTTGTGGTCTCCGCTTTCCTTCGCTTCGGTTTCGTCCTCAGCTTTTAGTAAAATTTGCATTTTGCTTGATTTACGGAAAGATTTGAGGCTATTGCAACGCAACTTTGATGTGTGTATCAATTTAGCCAAGTGTTAAGGTTAAGGATTCGGATTGCATTCGTCCGGGATCCGGGCTCCGCTTGTTGTTTGTCCTGGCAAACATTTAGTTATTGCATAGTGGTGTTTTTTCCGAGTATCCAGGGAAACGGAGGGGATGTGCAAACGCTGATAGAGTGACCGCACAGATAAGTCAATTGGCATTGCATTTGATTGCAGGTGTTCAGGATGGAAAAATGGGGATGAAGATGACATGTTTGCGAAGCTTTGGTCATTTCAAACTTCAAATGGTAGAGATTTAAGTATTTTCGAATTTTCTGATAATACTTGACAGGATTTTAGTCCATCAAAGGTACAAACAAATTACAAAATTGGAGAAAACTCTTAGTAAACAACTAGTGTTTTTCTATTTATTAAAAATGTAATCTATGTTATTAATATAATTTATAAAATAGTTTAAGTATTCTCTAGTAAACATTATTTTTTGGTTAATTCAATTTTGGTTACTTTGACTCCTTTATGGTTTATGGATATGACTTATAGTTATGCCTTTCCCCGATTTTAAACCTTGGTATGCACAATTTTTAAGCTTCCCCAACCAAAAGCGCATTAATTCCGCCGAAAAAACGTGCCATACTTTGTGGCTGTAATTTGCTTGAGCGCTCTTCTAACGACTTTTCTCACAAAAGTCATAACCTGGCAGGCAGACAAACGCAGACGAACAAACAGACAAACAGGCAAACAAACAAACGACTTAAGTGCAAACAATTAAAAGACAAACAGCTCAATGCTGGCTCACACCCAAACACACAAACACACACAGGCCAACAAACACCCACACATACGGATGCCCAAACAAGGAATTCGCAGAAGTTGAATGTTTTTTGGGGCGCGACAGAGGAAAAAGTTCCTTCTGGCGGCTCAAAAGTCGAGCCATGACATCTGAGTCGGAGTTTTAACTTTCGGGGCTTCTCTTTTTTACACACTTTGCCGGCAGAGATTGTAAATGAGAAGTTTGGTTGAAAAGTTTGGGGGAATTCGAGATGGCGGTGTTATGGACAAGTGGTGAATTTATAGCGCACATATGTGTGATTTCGAATTTCATAGGAGAATATTTCTTGGAAATTGCTCATTAAATTAGAAAAACTTTGGTTTAAGAAAAAAATAGGATAAATCTGAAAAATTAAAATTATAGGTATATAAAAAATTAAAAATTCTGTTTCCCAAACACAAGGATTTCCAAAAGATTTATGGTATACCATAAATATACCACATTTCAAGTCCAAATTGATACCACATAATATCAAACTGATCATCGTTTCATATCCAGTTTTTTTTTTTGGGTGTTGTCAAGTGCTAAAAAAGTGTTTTTTGTGTAGAAAATATGCTTTGCATTTGAATGATAATGGCATTCCCCTTTCGCATATTTTCTCAAGCATCTTTGGAGGACATTCAGGCGTAATTTTCAGAGAATTTCAGCCTTTTGTTGTATTAAAAAACCACCTCATTTCACTGCATATATTAAGTGTGTAAAACGTGTCAGAATCTGGGACTGTCTTCCTTCTTTCGACTCGCTTCTTGTCTCCTCGGGCATGTCATTCAATCATTTCAAGAGGTGGAGCCGCATCACAACACATTCCTGGTAATAAAATGCCCGACAATCTGGCTCGTGCTGGAATTTGGAATTTTGATTTTTCAGGTAACGTCAACACGGGCGAAAAAGAAAAGTGAGAACCAGGACTGGGGGTGGGGCTAATCTCCCGGCGACCGCCAAACCGCACATTAGCTGGGGATGTGCTGGAAATGCTCTGCAAACATTTGGGCCTGACAGCGGCCAAAAAATCGTGCATTGACGATGATAACGTGATGGCCTGGCCCCAACTGACATCGTCCATCGTCCGTCGACTGTCGACCATTGGTCCCTCTGCATATTCACGCCGCATTAGCGCTCGGTGGCCAGCGTTCCGGGCCTGCAAAACCGGACACAGAGCGGCGCATTTGGGTTTTGGGGTTGGGGGCTCGGGTTTTGGGTTTTTGGGTTGTTCGAGTCTGCAGCTTGTGGTTCCCCCGAGCCAACGCTGCTGCTCCGCCTCGGTTGATGCTTTTGACACGATCTACTGATTTCCGGGACGGGACGGGATGGGAGGCTCTCGGTTTCGGACG